TATACTCGGGTGCACTTGGCTATCTTCACCCCCCCCCCCTTCCTTACCCGTCCCTGGCCCTACATTGGGAACCGAGTGGAGACTGGAGGGGGTAGACGTACACACACACACACACGTCAAGCCTATACATTGTACTTGTTTATGTTCGTGAGTTATGCTGGCGACATACATTCTCACATCAACGGCCATACACCCTTGAATTATACGTACACATACACCCTTACACCAGTGGTCACACACACACACACACACACACACACACACACACACACACACACACACACACATTTGTTATCATTAATCGATCCAGACGGCATTATACCCTCCCTATATACTCGCTTATCACCTCGACGTGGGAAATAATAAACAGTCATGATCATTCTAGGGTAGGCTAGGGTTGTGTAGGGTAGGGTTGCGTAGGTTTGAGAAGGGTAGGGTACAGTTGCGTAGGGTAGGGTAGGAGGGCCTGGCGACACGACTCTCCAGCCAAAGAGGTAAGTAAACGTATCCTTGTTTATCCTACATCCCGTCTCTATTATCGCTAATCATAATTCAATAGAGATAAGAGCCGGTAGCTGGAGCCTCGGGGGTAATTATGTGCCCCACGTAATCAGTGGACCAATTCCTTCATTAAGTCTCCCAGGACGACGCTGTGACAAGTAGCTCGTTCGCCTGCATGGTGAGACCTAGTCAGCGGATATACAAACTATACACAACATCACACAGACTCTGTACATTGGTGAATCTCTCATCACTGTCTGTGGGGGGAGGGAGTGTAGCCATAGTGACTCATTGTATTACACCAGAGACTCACTAACAGGGCGTCTACTCTCCAAAGTGAATTACTCGTCATACTCACTGTTCTGAAACTTGTTCCTACCGCAGAAAGTCTGACCCTCACCTGTTCCCTCTCCTCATTACTTGTTCTTAACAGCCTCAATTCAGTGTCGCATACTTGTTTCTGAAGTCATACATAAATATACGTGCCTTTCTGGCAGATTTCCGTTCGCATACACCTTTGTTAACGTAGCTGAGTTGATGCCTGAGCTAAACTGGCGTCTAACAGAACCCAAAATAATGTAATGGCGGCCGTCTGCACCCCAGAGTCGCGCCACTGACTGATCACGACGCTTCTTGGATGATGAAGTAACCATATTAACCTCACCAAGAACACTGTCTGTTGTATTATGTAGATAGATAGATTTTATAACAACGAAATAAACTGTTAATGCTGTGAAGACCAAAGTAATGGTTGTTTCCAAATTGGAAATAAAAATACAAAAATAAAAATTGTGGTAGGCAACGGGGTCTTAAACAAATGGACAATTTTGTGTACTGTATTTGGGAAGTAACATTAGCTGTGATGGTAGATGTACGGAGACATCAAAACAAGAATAGGTCAAGCTAAAACAGCATTGAATAATCTAAAAGACCGAATGAAAAGAGACATTAACTTCAATTTCAGAAAAAGGCCGCTGAAAGACTTTATATGACAAGGACTGATGTATGAGTGGACACTTTCAGCAGAGGTTGGAGGCCTTTGAATAGTGGTGTTATAGACGAATGTTAAGAAAAGCTACACTGATAGGAAAACAAATGAAGTACTAAGAGTAGCAAAAACGTCAAGAGAAATTCTTGAAATGGACCGAAAAAAAGGATAATTTGGTCAAATAATTAGGGATGACTGATAATAGAAATATAATGGGCAAAGTTAGGGGTAGGAGGGCCAGGGGGAGGCAGAGACTGGGAGTGACCGCAGTTGAGAAGTAGAACAGGAGGTTACTAGATAAACAAGTCTCAGTTATAGTAGGCCCCAACTGAAGCTAATCTTCCCATTACCACTGGGGCTCAGATATAATGGGTTCCAGGCATAATAGGACCTATAGTTCTGATGGGCCCTAGTCCTAGTAGGTTTCAGCCGAAATGGGCAAAATCCAAATTGTTGGTTTAAATCTGTTGAGTCCAGGCCTAATAGGAATGAAGCCTACTAGAACTACAAACCAAAAGGTCTTCTTATGTTACGCTACTTGGACAACAGATAATTATCAAGCCTCGTCGTGTTGGCCCGTCACATGGAGAGGCAGAAGAGTGGGTCGTTGTGCATTCAAGAAACTATTTGTTGTGATGAGAAAAAAAAAGAGCTGATCTGAGGAAAATTATTGTCAATATTTTTTACTTTATTTTATAATTTCTGAAGTGTTGAAAAATAAATAAGACGAATGAAAAATAAATTAAGCTTAATGATTTGTATTATTTTGGGGGTGGGGGTAACTTTGTGGTCAGGTTGTGAGGTTGGTTACTAAGGATAATAAGAATACAGAGATCTCCAACAAACACATGCGGTACTCAGTGACGAGAGTACAGTCCGGGTCCTGAGTACAGTCCGGGACCTGAGTACAGTCCGGGTCCTGAGTACAGTCCGGATCCTGAGTGCAGTCCGGGTCCCGAGTGCAGTCCGGGTCCCGAGTACAGTCCGGTTCCTGAGTACAGTCCGGATCCTGAGTACAGTCCGGGTCCTGAGTGCAGTCCGGGTGCCGAGTACAGTTCGGGTCCTGAGTACAGTCCGGATCCTGAGTACAGTCCGGGACCTGAGTACAGTCCAGGTCCTGAGTACAGTCCGGACCTTGAGTACAGTTCGGGACGTGAGTATAGTTCGGGTCCTGAGTACAGTCCGGGTCCTGAGTACAGTCCGGATCCTGAGTACAGTCCGGATCCTGAGTACAGTCCGGGTCCTGAGTATAGTTTGGGTCCTGAGTACAGTCCGGGTCCTGAGTATAGTTCGGGACCTGAGTACAGTCCGGGACCTGAGTATAGTTCGGGTCCATATATGTAACCCGAGTTTACATATACGGACTAAATGAGATATATACTGTATATGTAACCTCGCATTTCCTAGCTGGATTCGGTAAAATGCTACTCTCCGACCACATAGTTGGCACGGGAGGTTCACGGCGCTGATGGTAGCACGATAACACAGGCTTTGTGTGAAATATAACAAAGTCTAGGATTGCTTTTGTTGTCCTTGTGGCGCAGTGGTAGCGATCCCTGGTCACAAGCAGAGGTCGTGGGCTCGAATCCTGGCTGGTGAAGTCTTGATTGTATATATATATATATATATATATATATATATATATATATATATATATATATACACCTTTTTTCATTCATGACAGCTTCTGCCTCCTGGTAGGCCCATAATCTGTCACTGTTTCCCACGCTACCAGTAAGAGGTTGGGTCAGCTAACACTGTCAATCGTATTTGTTTTTTTTTTCTTTTACGTATTTTTACTTGGCTTTAATAGCTTAGTCTACGGTGAGTTTGCAGACCCAGGCCTTTGGTAAGCAGAGAGGCAGTCACCCATTGAAAATGACTAGATACCAGATAATATATTCAAGAATAAAGAGGAAAGTATCCCGCCCTCAGGCTTCACGACATTTATTTTGGTCGTGCTTCTTGCCCACAGTTCCTGAACTGGTGGCGTTATTGTTTACATTTGTGAAACGCTCCTATTCCGAGAACTCCTCTACACTCACTTGTAAGTCTTCGTGGCGGGAGGTTGATGGGTGGCGGGGGCCATCGACTGTGTTGGCGGTATTGTCCTTTGTTTACACTCATTGATTTACAGAAAACGGTTTATACAGTCTGGAAATTGGGGGTTATTCCTCGGCAGGGGGATGTTGTGGTAACAAGAATCGGTAATAGCCGCTTATGATAAAGTGAATTTGTGAAAGGGAAACCATAAGAGCGAGAATTTACTGCAGGTCCAGCAGGATCCCACTTCAACAACCTTTCGCGCTATTTACACTACAATAAAACTGAATGCTGCAACCACCGACCATTTATTTTTAATTTCACCATTTACCAGTTTGGAAATAATTGTTTTCTGCTTTATGGCGTATCAAATTATAAGGTGTTTTTACTTTTTTCTACAAAGATTTCATTTATCAGTAATGCTGCTATGGTGCACCTTGCTATGACCAAACGATTTTACATCACAGTTTGCTCCCGGGTTCCCTCAAAACTTCTTTTCACCATCAGGTGATTTAAATTTAGATTGACTGAAGTACCTTCAACTTTTATTAACGTCTCTCGTACGTCCCTCTGGATTACTGTGAAGGCATGGAAACTACACCACCAGAGACTAACGCCGAGCTGATAAGATGATTTCTGAATTATATCATCTCAATCATCCAAGTGGACTGAGGGCCTTAGGCCTGACAACTTTTCAGACAAGACACGAAGATTCAGATCTCATGGAAACATTCAAAATTTTCAAAGCTCACCGAGTTGTCATGCGGGACGAATATAAGGAAATATTTTGTTCACCTCTAGAACAGTCTACCAGCTCAAGCTGTGGAAGTGACAACGGACAGATCTGGCCTCCTTCCCTCGGTATGACCACCTCTAGTTAGGGTAGCCATTTTATATATATATATATGGCATGCCAGAGCAAAAAATTTTAAATCAAACATCCAATAAATAGAGTCCATCCTGTGATCTCAGTGATGACTGCCTTCTGTGTTCATAAACTGTTGTATAAGAACAACATCCCTAATATAGTAAAGGATGGTAAGTTGACACTGGAACCGGTGTTGCCTTCCTCCTGTGAATTTATCCTCCTTATAAAGGTCAAGTTCATATACAAATGTCTCTTCCTTGTTGCATAGCAACGGTGTTTCAGTATCTTTGCTAAGAAACAAGTTTAAACAGCTAACAAGATTAAGTAATTACTCTTAATTTGAAATGTATTTACACTGCATATCACCGATTCACGATTCTACTCTCAATGACGTACCAGGGTAATAAACTAGTAAACTAGTCATTATATAAGTTCTCTATCATTTTAATAGAGAGTTAAGAGCGGTCCTTAAAATACTCTTTAGAAAAGGTGAAGAGGATAGGGTTATCTCTTGCATCACTCGTTTATCTTCTTTGTTCAATTTAAGATACGATAAGATACCTGTCCCTTGTTCAGTCATATACAAACGCACGGCGGTCAGCTCAACCAGTCCAGCCTCACCCTACGTGCTTTCCACACCTCAACCTTCTGCGGTGTAGTAGTGCCTTGTCCCTTCCTCCAGAGCCGCGCTGCCCTAATGTCCGCCTTACTCAAATGTTGGGTGGCACAGGATAACCAAGTCAAGTTATCTAGCCTTCCATGCCCCAGTGAGATGATTTTACCAGAAAGTGACCGACCAGCAATGTACTGTACTGTGTTTCTATCTTTCAGGAGCTTCTCTCTACCCCAATTAATTCTTCCCTCGCCAGTGTATCCCTTTACAGAAGGTATCAATCTTATACCGGACTTTATGGGTCCCACTAAATTCTGTGGCCGACACCTGGACCCCATACCAGCCTCACCCTTCATTGCTTGTTTGGTAAATGGGGATTCGTGTGAGCCAGTGATACACGCGTGTAAACATTTGGACACTTGATATTTATTTATAGACTGAAAACAGTAGTGTGAACGTTACTGTTGTTATACGTGAACGAGTATGGTGTTACGTGCAAGTGAACCTTTTGCTGTGACAACCACACTCAGGTGATGTTTGTGTCGATCGTCTGGTGATGTACAGTACTTCCACTTGTCTTTCTCTCTCTCGGTGTTAAATAGTGTTGTCACTCCATAAACCTGAACACACTTTTTTTCTTTATTCTTCCATGACCTAAATTATATATACTTAACTGTATATTGCTATTATACGTCGCTGGCACAAGTCAATGAATATCTCTGACCGCTTCAACAAGTCCCAAACCACTACGGGGACCCTCTATCAGTAGCAGGGTCCTCTCCCAGCCTCAGGTCAGCATCCACAACATTCCATCTCACTTTTGACCCTCCCCACATATCATCCATAAACTGTCATCATTTCGTCATTTGCTCGCAATATATATCCTGCCTATCTCAGTCTAACCTAACCTTATTAAGTTGAGACCACCGACTGCTGGTTCAATAAACGAGATATCATTTTTCCGCATACTATCTCCTTATCTCTCCCTCACGCACGCACGCACGCACACACACACACACACACACACACACACACACACACACACACACACACACACACACACACACACACACACACGCACACACACACACACACACATTGGCGAGTTGGCTAGGTGAAAAATTTACTTTGCTGACAAAAATACCAAAGTTAGTCCCGAGAAAAATGTCTGTACAGTCACTCAAAAAACTATCTATACAAAATTGTGATGATAGAATATAACACAACGGACGGAGGCTTTTGACAACCCTACCAAATCAACAGGAGTCGCAGTGTTCATTGTGAAATTCATCGATCACCCCGAGTACAGATTTTTTTTTTTTTGCGTGACTGTACATAGAGACACCAACCAGGAATCTATAATGACTTACTAAATTAAAATTAGCTTCGTGATGTGGCCGCGACGTGATGGACAAGTGAACTACTGAGATGTTGCGTGTACCAGATGAGTTTATAGATTAAAACAATCACATGAGCCAGAACAGTTGATAACGAGGATATCACAATGACGTCATCACTTACAAATTATCTTTAAATACAAAATCGATGAAATTTTTAAAATAATATATTTTTTGGGGGGTTGTAGTTTGCATTTCTAGTCGTTCATGAATTTAATGAGGACATTATTTACGTGTTGAATGGTGTTATGGCATCAGACCTCATAATCCCCACCAACGACCATTAATTAATCTGATTGTGAAGGGCTTATAAGTGCACTATAAGTTGTTCATTATAAGTGTTTATGGACAGTGAATTAGGTAGTAGTTTAACTGCTTCGTACACGCTCATGTTATGACGTCACATTCTATAATCATCACTCTTTCATATTTTAACTTGTAACCTGATAACTGTTTAAGTAACGAGAAATATACATAAGAAGAAACATTACTTCTTTTCTCTAAACAAACGATCTATTTTGTTACATAAAATTCTCGTCAACATCAGCTATTAAACGACATTTAAGTTTCATCAAAAACATCAATAATCATTATACGTGTTTGTGTAAATGTGCTCTCACTAGTTCAGATTTTTAAAGGCACAAATTCAGGATTGTAATACATGTTTAATATTACACATTTTATGGTTAACTATTCTATTTCTGGCGGTCGAATGCAGTACCGTCCATGCTGCCTCCTTGTGTACCGAAGGCTTAGTGTGCTGTGTCCACACTGTCCCGAGCGGGCATTCTCTCTCACGTTCAAGAGAAGACATAATACATCAGAACGTCTGTGTAATTTGTGTCATAAGTTTCGAGATATTAAGAGTCTGAAAAAAAAATATTGTTGCGTGGTTCAATTAAGTGGTACAGTACCTGAGAAGGCCTAGAGTTGAGATTATAATTGTTTCCACTTGAGTTTGGGATCTTTTCGATTTGCATCGTAGTTCTCAATAGATTTATGTGTCTTTAGAGAAATGGTAAAAAGTACTGAAAAAAAATCTCTTTGTGGGTTTTGTAAATAAAATGAATGGCAAATTTCAGTGATTTACAATGGTTGTGTGAAGATTTACAGTCTCAGGAAGAGTTGCTACACTCTTTACAATCCTACAAAATTATTCAAGAAAAAAATATGTCCAGAACACACTAAATAAATATAAAATTTGTGCAGTACCTGATCGACTTGTACGGCGATGTGAAAAAAGTTCCTGTTATGAATAAATTTTAATTCAATAAGGAACTTAACCTAACCTAACCTATTCAAACGAACATCTTATATGTAATTTTCAACATTTCATATTATTATTATTATTTTAATCAGCGCGTGAAACTACTGCACCAGTCATGTGTTTTTATGATCAAAATGAACAGAATTTGTAATGGGAACTTAAAAAAATTTCCTTGTCCAATATGCGTTATACTTGCCAGAAACTATATACAGCCATATACTGTGCTGATAAAGTTGAGAATAAAAATGTGGTGGGAGAGCGACAGCCTGGCTCACACTTCCCAGTAACTCACACGATAATAAATTTCGTTCTAAAATGGTTTAGTAATGCCACTAATTTGTTTACGCTCTTTATGTTTTATTTCTGAAAACAAAATCTAACATTGAAGTAATTATATGATTCTGTCTGTAGTCGCTTAAGAAGATTTATTTATTTAATGGTGAAGAGGATAAAAGTTACAATTAAGTAAAAGTAATAATGATGAATAAACGTAAAACCCAAGCTGACATACGTATATAATGACGTATATATAGTTTAAAGATTAACTTAAAAACTCTATCCTCTGCAAAATGAGACTTGTGCCCCGAGAACAATTAAGGATAGTTACCATTCCATCCTCGACTCAGGAGAGATGCCGCTTCCTCAGCCTGAGACACTCAACCAGCAAGAGTTTTTTGGTCAAGGGGACCAGGCAGTCATTGTATACTTGTTGGGGCTACCAAGCCATCAAGTGACTATGGATCACCCTAATATGGCCAATACTGACCTATAACTGATATAATCTCCTGGAGCTATGTTGGGCCAACACTACGTGGGCCCGATACCCAAATGCTTAGGCAAACGTGGAGAGCTGGGTGAACACAGAGTGCTCGGAGGAACCACCGACCCCTGGAACAGGAGGCGAGCGCTGTATTCACCCCACACTCTTATCCCCTAATAGTACTCCTTGAAAGAGCAACTTCGTTGCTGGGTGTTGGCACTATTCCCAGAAGGGGTCGGGGAGCCACGGTGACCCTAACTTAACCTAACCTAGTCAGTAGCCAAACGATCCTTTGATAATTAAATATTTTACCCAAATATCATTCTTAGATAAAAGGGACCACCAAGGAGACAAACAGAACAGAGCGTAGATCACCAGGGACACTGTGGTGTCCAGGGACCCGCCAACATAGCTTGCCGGGTCCTTACTCCTTCCTCGACGGTGAGAAAACACAACCAAAACAAGTGAACATCGCTATGTCCAGTATTACCAACAGGTTCCCGTAACACAATCATTATTTTACCCTAAATATTATATTAGAAATTCATCATCCAATATAATAATACATAGAACAATACAATAATACATAGAACAATGCAATAATATATATAACAATACAATGATACATATAACAAGTCCTAAGATGCATACAGAGAACAAGTCATGAAACACTACAGTAATACATAGAACACATGAAACGTATACATGCAGCAAGTCAGGAAACATACCTTACTGTAACCTTAATACATATGAGAATCTGTTCAGTGTTGTTGCGATGAATGGTAGTACAGTATATTATCCCCCAGTTACAACAGACGAAATTACAGAAAAAATCACTATCTGCTCAAAACGAAATTAATGTCGATAATAAAAGATCGCTATTGAAATTTTCTCTATAATTCGTAATAACTTGATGTGTGTACAGTAGTGGGTAACTTATTTTTCACGTTGTCACCAATTTACTCAATACCTAGCATACCTTTTAAGTGGACTGATCACGGTAGAAGTTGTATCAGATTAAGTATATCAGTTGTGATATCAGCAACATGTAATGCCACATTGTATACATGTTTTCATTTTATGTTTAATTAATTAACTTAACCTAACCATTTACCAAGAGAGGTGTGTTTACATAGTCCACCAGGTAGGGAGCGTTGGGGCCCGGCTACTGTACAAGTTATTGCTGTCGGTTTTTTTTGTGTGTTCTTGAGAAATGTTGACACGTTTGTTTTTTTTATTTACCAGTGTAACTTTACTTGTTTATCACTACTTACTAACTGTTGTTCCCAAATTTCCCCTTTTTAAAATATCAATTAATTTACGTGTTGGTCTTTTTTGTTCATCCCTTATGTTCATGAAACACAACAGTGTGTGTTGTGTATCACGTGAAACATAGGAAGCACAGAGAGAGAGAGAGAGACAGTGCATTCGATAACTGTTGATAGTACGTAAGAGAGAGAGCGGAGTTTGCCCCAAGTTAGTATGCAGCTGACTCCCGAGGTGTTAGTTGTGTTCGCCGACTCAGCCTTCACATCTTTACGCCCTTGTGACCTTATAAATAATAATAAATTAAACGTACAAATATATATTAAGTAAACAAGAAACAAGGAAAAATACATACGATCATATTTCAAGAAGTGAGAGCTGAAAGATATTACAATACTGAAAAAGTTCGAGAGATCTCAAAGAACTACTCAGTAACGAGATTTACAAGTGGTATGTGGTGGTGTAGTAAAAGGTGGAGTGTGGTCCACGTGTAGCTGGCGCATCACACCGCCGGGGAAGCAACCAGAGGCTTCCTCCAACCGGCAACATGTCACCCACCCTTCAACATCCGGAGGCTTCATTCGAACACACAAGCCTCATGCAGCAGACGGAGAACAAGGTGGCAAATGACTTCAGGCATTTAGGTAACGTGGATATCTTCCACCACCGCCCCAGCCTCGAGGACACCACAGAGTCCTCCATCTGTGGCTCCTACAAGTATCACACGTGAGTGGTGGTTGTGGGGGGCGCAGCACAGTCCCTGGCTAAGTGTAGCGTCTAGTCCAGAATGCTTGGCTTAATTAAAAGTTATTACTCGTTTTTCTCCATTTATTTATCTATCTGTTTGTGTTAACTCAGGATATACGAGTAGATGATGCTTGGTATACTGTGAGTGTGTCTTGAGTCTTTCCTCTTAACTGTAGTCTCCTCTTCCTATAACCTCTCATCTCTTTTTCCTTCCTCTTCCCTGTCACCTCTCATGTTTCTCTCTTCCATCTCCCTCACCTCTTCCTCTCTCATCCCTCTTCCTCACTTACATCATTCTCTCTTCGTCCTCTCCCTCAACAACTCACCTCTTCCATTTATTCCTACTCGCCTCAGCAAAGTGTGGCGAAGTGGGAGATTCTTTTATGTAACACGGCGCCTTGGTGACTTCCCTCTCTTTCCCATTCCTCCCCGCCAAGTGAAACACATCACCTTATCTCCCCTTTCATCCCCCCGTGTTCTCCCTCGCGTGTATGGCCTCAGTCTCCCTCCCCATGTTCTCCCTCGCGTGTATGGCCTCAGTCTCCCTCCCTCCCTGTTTTCTCCCTCGCGTGTGTTGCCTTATAGTTTCCCTCCCTCCCTGTGTTCTCCCTCGCGTGTGTTGCCTTATAGTTCCCTCCTCGTCTTCTCCCCGCCACTTGCCTCCGTCCCTGGTGGTGGATCTCACGGTCAAGTCAGCTGCTCCCGCCTCCGTATCAATAGAAAAATAATCCCAGCTTCTCGAAAACCTCCATGAATTTAATCTTTTTCCTCGTAGCAGAGAATAAGAGAGAGAGCAGCTAGTTACAGTGTAATTTCGACTCCACTTTGTCAACAGTCTTTGTATCGTTGTTCATGTGCGTTATTTACTTGTGTTCCCAAAATAGCCTTTTTAACGAAAACAAAATTCATAGTCAAACTTACAAGAATCTGGGGCCCAAGTCGATAATCATACTGGCTGAGCCGAACCAGATGGGTCACCTTACGAAATCTTGGTGATAACACGGGGTAAAAATGGAAGTTATTGGAATGGCAACTCTTGTCAGGCTTTATTTGTTTTATTAATCCGGGCCTTGTCTGTGTACCGAAGATGGTTGTAGTGCGTCGTGATGGTCTAATGTCCACGCTTTTTACATAACATAACAACACAAAAGAAGAGTATTATAGTTGACTTAAATCTCAATGGACATGTCAAGGGCGTTGACACTGTCCCTTTGTGTTAGTCATCCACCGTTGCTGGCATAAGGAGTCCTCGTGTCTCCCTGTGTGTCTTCTAAGCGGGGTTTAGAGTGCAAAACATCGTCGATATGTTATTTACATGTTCAAGAGCTGTTGGATCTACCGCGACGCAAGCTTCCAAGGGTGGGTGGTGAGGGTGGGTGGTGGTGGGGGTGAGGGTGGGGGTGGGGTGGGTGGTGGGGGGTGAGGGTGGGGTGGGTGGTGGGGGGTGAGGGTGGGTGGTGAGGGGTGAGGGTGGGTGGGTGTGGGTGAGGGTGGGTGGGTGGTGGGGTGGGGTGGGTGGTGGGGTGGGGTGGGTGGTGGGGATGGGGTGGGTGGTGGGGTGGGGTGGGTGTGGTGGGGGTGTGGGGGTGGGGTGGTGGGGTGGGGTGGGTGGTGGGGTGGGTGTGGGGTGGGGTGGGTGGTGGGGGTGGGGGTGTGGGGTGGGGTTGGTGGGGTGGGGGTGGGTGGTGGTGAGGTGGGGTGGGTGGTGGGGTGGGGTGGGGTGAGAGGGGTGGTGAGGGTGAGGGTGGGGTGGGTGGTGGGGTGCAGTGGGTGGTGGGGGTGAGGTGGGTGGTGAGGGGTGAGGTGGGGTGGGTGGTGAGGGTGAGGAGTGGGGGTGGTGCATGACAGCAGATAGCTCATAACGTCTTACCTTGAGCCAGGCAGTGTGTCAAGGTAACGAGTGCCTCCACCGTTATCAAGTTGGCCTCATTATGCAGGAAGGCGGCGCCAGGGCTCGCGTAGCTGGTAGTTCTCTCTGGATTAAACTTCATCAATGGTCGACCATCATAACGTTCATTGTTTTAATTGTAGGTTTAATTAAAACATTCTTTCTGAAACCAAAATTAATGTTATGGTAAAGTAAGCAGTTTTATTATTATTCATTCTTGAGTGCGTGTTGGTGTTTAATATGACATGTTTCCCTGATAATTTTTTTAGTAGACTTGTGGCAGTGCAGAGACGTTCACAATTCCGGCAACTGACATGTATTAAAAATATAAGGATTTTGTGGTGACTACCTTACTACCTTAACTAAATTGTTTTTGCGTACATCTAACCTGGCGTTTATCTTGCTTCTATCTCGGGGACTCCTATTCCTCCAGTTTGAATGTGGACCAAGCTGGCCCCAGAAGACAGCATAACCACCACAGCGTGGTTGATCTTATTGAAGTGTGACAAGTTCCCTCGTGAAGACCTTCGGCTTTTCAGTAATGTTTTTGTGCTTTAAAAACAACTTATATCTACTAGGTATATCAGATCTATGAAGTCTCAAGAAACAGTAATAATAAAAGTATATCTTCATATGTCCATTAGGTTGATAACTTACAAATGAGAAGAGAATATGCATGTCGTTTCCCGCCAGGTCAATACAAAGATGATTTTTAAGCCTTAACACCAAACTGTTTGTTGTCACGTGTACCAGAACTAGCGGCTATGTTTCAGTGTGCACAGTTCTCACACTCTTCTTTCAAATGTGTTCTCGTTTAGTGTTCTTATTACTGCAGCAAAGTTATCCTCAGCAGGCCTTTGTCCTGTTAACAATGTCTTCAAGGTACTCCACATATGTATAAGTGCCCCATCACCCCCGTGCTGCGCCAACACGAGCACCACTCACCCTTTATCACGTGAACTCTCTGACCTTAGTTGTAAACGGTACATACTTTAAGTTACTGCAAGTATACTATAATAAATCAATTTGCAATTTTTTTTAATATCAACATAAATATCCGTGAAACCGTCTTTAACAGTAATGTATCGCGAATATTATGGGGGATTCACTTTACAGTCACTTGTGTGTTTGTTTTATACCCCAGTGAGCGTCTTGGCCTGCACGGTGATGTAGGTGAAGGTGTTCGTTCGTCTCCTCACCCGTCTAGTGCAGTAGTTTATTCAGAGAAATATACGTATGCTTGTTCCCGGACTGGCTAACGGTACATATCCCCCCTCACCATTCCTCACCACCACCCACCACCACTATCCTTCACCACCATACACCATCATCACCAACCATCGCCATCACCATCCATCACCATCATCCACCATCCTTCACCATCTTCCACCATCACCATCCTTCACCAACCATCACCTCAATTTCATCACTGTCCTCCACCATCACCATCCTCCACCATCACCATCCTCCACCATCATCACCACCATCACCGTCCTCCACCATCACCATCCTCCACCATCACTCATCCTCCACCATCACTCATCCTCCACCATCACCATCCACCAACCATCATCATGACCATCACTCACCATCACCATCCTCCACCGTCATCCTCCACCTTGTCACTATCTCCACCATCACCACGCATCACCGTGTTATCCCCTGGCCTCATAACTCAGATAATGGGATGATGGTCTGAGATAAAGATGAGAGGTGGCGAGGCGAGTGGCGAGTGGTGGTGATGAGTCTGGCATCCACGATGCTGATGCTGGTCATGACGTGTGTTCAGTTGATGTGTTCATAGACGTGTGTTCAGTTGATGTGTTCATAGACGTGTGTTCAGTGGCGGGAAGATACGGGTCCGACAAACAACTATCATGCCAATTAACGATAATGGTTATCATTAATTAATCTCCAGTCGTCTGCACCCTCTCTCTCTCTCTCTCTCTCTCTCTCTCTCTCTCTCTCTCTCTCTCTCTCTCTCTCTCTCTCTCTCTCTCTCTGTAGTATACATCCGTCAGTATTCTCTTCGGGTTATGGGTTATGTGTGTGTGTTAGTCCGGAGAGATGCTATTATCAATTAACACTAATAATAATAATTGTAAACGAAAACACATCGTGATAAAACTGAATAATTATAAACTGGTGAATAATATTTATTTATTTATTAAGATTGCATTTCTTATTGGTATTATAATAATCTACTCGACACCAACAGGTATAAAATTCTTCTTCATATTGTTACCGGCTGAAAGTTACTAAACAAAACTAATTTGAGGTTTCAGTTGTTCTTGTCAGTGCTGTTAGGAGGACAATGTTGTATACTCATATATGTGTTTGTGTCTTCTTCTGTGTATGGAAACTCTAGAGGAATATAATTTTTGAGATATTTTCTAGAGAAATGTAATAATCATCTTATTCTCCCTGGGATAAACTTACTTGCTCGGAATCTGTCATATTTTGTACAACAGGAGGAAAATTAATTTAAAATCGTCTCAGAAATGAATATGCAGAATCTATAATTGTATCATAATAACTACAAAAAACTGGTATGGGTGGCCCTAGGGCCACCTAGGCGCGAATTTGTTTAAGGTGTAGAAGCTGTCGCCAACACCACAACCACACCATGATTTAACGAGTTGCATGACCAGTGTCAAGAAATAGCCCTAGAAGACCGGACAACTCGCTAACTGCACTGGCTAACCATTACCCCGGAACACGATCCGCAAATCGATTAACATCCAGATTCCCAATTACTGCTGGGTAGACAGAGGTAAATGACGTAAAGAAACTTGCCCATAGTTTCACCCCCCGTCTCCCTCCCCCTCTCCTACCCCCTCCCCTCCTCTCCCATCCCCCCTAAAACAACAAAAAACACTTTGATTACTCACAGGAATGCACGAACCACCGCAGATAGGGTCTTGTTGAGAGTGGTGGCGCGATTATCTGGCCAAAGGCTCACGTGACCAGAAAGACTGCCTCTCACACACCTCGTGGACGAAGCTAAACAATTATTAATGGTGTCTCAGATAACATGGGGATCCCTTGAGAATAAAACAACGTGTAGAGTCGACATTAATCTTTGAAAATTAATGTGTGTTTTAGAATACCCCTACCAAGTTAGTGCAGCTTAATTCCTGTGTAATGTGTTTGAAACGTCATATTTTCCATCATACACTAAAGTTGTTTATAGAATCAAGGATCGAACACACTTACGAGAACAACATAGGGGTGTAGCGGATGTTGAGATGTCCCTTCTACACCATTAGATTGTTTGAAGAACTCCCTCAAGAGCCATTTTGTTTTATTCTTGTCCATTCTTATCAGTAACGTGAGGAACTACCCCAAACGAACACTGGTACACCTGATGAGTATCTCGGCGGCGGCGCACATCAAGTTCGGTAAATTTTAAGATTGTTTATGTAACAGAACCCCTGATATAAAGGAAAGAAGTAAAGTGTTTCCTCAAATGGGTGAGGGTATATTGTTCCACACCACACCACCATATTGTATAAACGTCTGGGACTGAGTGGAGCACATGTGGGGGCAGTAGGTCTGGGACTCATGAGTTATACCTCTGGTTTGTCTACAACTCGAAACCGTTAATCTCAATAATGTGATTAACTGATTTATAAGCAAATAGAGCTCAGCAGTAAACATTAATATCCTTATAACTTAATGTCCTCAAACCGGTAACCTTATTTATGGCAAAAGAGGAACTTTGAAGGCTAAGTAATTGGACCTGTATAAATTGTATGATACTTACAAGGTACGTAACGGGAATTCGAACAAAGTTGAAGAAAGTTTGCTTCAAGTTACTTAAAAGTAGGCATGTAAAATGAAATGAAGGATAGCAACTTGAACTAAGTTTGTCATGAAAATCCTCAGTATTACAGCAGTCTAACTACAAAGAGAATGAAGCTTCTGAAATTATATATATATATATATATATATATATATATATATATATATATATATATATATATATATATATATATATATATATATATCATGATGTGATAATGGTTTGTGATTATAGCACACTCTTATTGTTGAGGAAGATGTGTGGTGCGGTCTGAATCCTTCCGGGTGGGCAGGGTTGAGAGGGACAAGTGGGCTTTACCTCGAGTTGTTCTGATCCTCGGGTGCGAAACATTGCTTGGAAAATGCTTGAACAAACAGATTCAAGATTTCCGTGACGAGAGTCTTTGTGACTGTGTTCTGGGCGTTGGGATGAGGTTGTGTGTTAACAGGTCTGGGGTGCACTTATGTGAGTGTGTTTATCTTTCGGTTAGGTATTGTTTGTTTACGTGTATTTGTCAAAGTTTTTTTTTTTAACTCCGATAGCACTTTAATCAAGGACAAGTTGGTCTTGTTTGTAATATATTAATGGATTATGGACGTGTGGATGCATTGTAAAGTTGGATTTCATAGGTTCGCATCTTCGGTATTGATGCTTTACAAAATGCAATTTTGCTAACTTTTAAAGTAGAATAATCCGTATTTGGAGTTGAACACATTTTATATTTCGAGATATGCTCGAATATTTCGAGAAAAAGAAGCAAGGATAAATGAAATGACGTCGCAATAACGCTAACCAACCCTCGTAACGTCCTTCTAGAGTGAGGTGCTTCCTTGAGATATGCTAGAGACTGCCAGTTGATTGAAATTGACCAAAGGAGGGCCACCAGATTGGTGCCTGCACTACGGCACCGCAGTAATTCAGAGAGATTAGAGCTCCTGCAACTGCCTAGCTTATACTATAAGGGGATGAGGGTGACCTAATTGAAGTTTATAAACATCTCAAGAGTGTACATACCTGGAGGTGGCGGATGCCCGCCCCACTAGAGGTCACAGCTCTAGGTTGAAGAAGCCGCGAGTCCAGAAAATTGTCAGGACAAATTTTTGGGGGGTAAGAATTGTAAACTCTTGGAACAATCTGCCACAGAGTGTTGTAACGGCATCGAGTGTGAGCTCTTTCAAGACCAGACTCGACCAATACTGGAGCAGGTAAGATACATTCAGGAGCCAGTGCATGCCCAGTACGTGCCAACAGTATGTAACAAAGACGTGACCGACCGCCCAAGCAGCTAACAAGCCGATCAGTGGCGAAGAGGTTAAAAGTAAAAAGTATGACAAGAAAGGTCGTGTTCATTTTTAATTCCATCTCACCCAGTGGTAAGAGTAAAATCTAGTCTGACTGTACAGCACATGATCATTTGATCAGTTATCTGTCCCCGTGGGTGTATATGGTTAAGAAGCAGGGTATACTGTACAGTTTTCTAAGTTGAAGTTTGATATACGGTTATGGAAATAATATTTTATATACATAACTGAAGTGAAAGCTGCCGCACAGGCGTAGGTGGTTACAGGTTGTACAACACCTTGATAGATAGATTTCTAACCGCTGTTTGTGTCTTTGTTAAACTAATCCACAACTTTGCGATGACATCATAGACATCAAATTTCATCCTTACCTCGTTGTTACCCTGAAGTTCTGCCATTTCGAGATCTCTATTAAAGGACACAAGTATGAGACTGAAGTTGTCAAACGTGTCATTTGGTCAAGCCTGGGGTAAATTTCTTTCAAGTACCTGATGTAAATTCACTGACCTATTTCAATTGACCCAACCCGGGTTTCCCACGCCCTAACATGAGACATCAACTTCTATTCTCTTGTTCTCCCTTGACGCCCGGCCTAAGAAAAATTACTTGTGACCATTGCAATGCCACAGGCAGCCCCTGGATCTCCTGCGCTCTCTACGATCCGACTCGGTATTTTTATTTTTATTTTATTTTTTAGATTTGCCTCGTACGGGGAATAGTTTATTGGGCTCCCACTTGCATTTTGTGCAAGGCGAAGCACCAAAGCATTTACAGAATTCATACTTGTTTTCTTTGACTCATGCGATTAAGAACGGTGGAGTTAGTATGTAGATATCGCCTTTGTTCCGATGTTTGACTGGGGATACCGGATAAGTTTTCATTTTATACCCAGCCAAATCTCCACATGGATATCTGGACCAGCTGCTTGCCAACGTCTCACACACAACCTACCGATGCCTTTCCACGGCAAAACTTTCAAAATTGTAGAACACCCAACATCACTGACTCCCATCACAAGCAGGCCCAGAACACAGTCTATAACGTCAAACCGAAGGGACTGGCATTGATCACATGCAACTAGACTGCATCTTTGTTGAGTGAGACACCTGTGTGCCTCTATGGTCCCAGATTGGGTGGGCCACTGGACAGACACGAATGGGTGGAGCAACGTTTCCTTACATGGAGGCGAACCCCTGCAGTCCAGGCATGGAGGCAGCTGTGAACCCTTTTGTTCCAGGGATAGAGGGTACAGCAAACAGTTTTGATCCAGGCATAATGGCAGAATGAAATCCTTTTGGTTCAGTCATGGAGGCATAATTGAACTCTTTTGGTCCAGTCTTGGAGACAGAGGTGAACCCCTATGGTCCAGCCAGACATGGAGACAGAGGTGAACTTTGTGGTCTGTTTCCTTATGTTGTTGATGCCCTTGGTGGCTCGTTACTGATACACCGAGTGACGCGTGTTATCGTACCGTCCCGAGAGCAGCAACAACTGATGTGGGTGGTGTGAACAGCTGGTGTGGATTAAGCAATAGATGGTGTGGCTATGGTGAGAGGCGGTATAGCACGAATGACAAATGGTGATGGTGGGACGACAGGTGGTGATTGTAGAAAGCCGAATGATATAACATTGAACTAGTGGTCTCCAGGTTCCGGGTTCAGATCTCGACCCAGGAGATAGTATTGGCTCCTAAAGTATTTGTTTTAATATTTTTTTTTTACTTTGATTCCATAATATGTTTACTACTGCGAGTTTCCTTCTGTCGAATGTAAACAAACACAGCGCTCCCATACTGCACAAAACCTGACGAGCCCCTGTAAACGCACTAGTGAAGGGGACTGTACGTTCTTGTGTTTTTCTACATGACCAAAAAATAGTTAATATAATAGGGAAGATATGTATTGTTTTAGTCTTATATCAAGTGGTAACATTTAGGTTGAGTCGCCTCTTTGGTAATTATAAACCAAAGTTTGATTTTCACTTATTGGAATGAGTTTAAAGATCAAGTTCACTCCATATGTTTTCTGTTGTTATTGTTGGTACTTCTATAAAAGCTTGAAAAACTATTTTTAGAACTAAGTGCTGTATAGTTTTGTCATAAAAGGTTCAGCAATAACCGGTCGACCTTTAGGTGCAGAGCGTGACGTCAGCAGTAGTGTAAACTCTTGATGATTTATGTTGATAATGGAAGTATTTAAAACCTAGAGAGTGTCGCTTCATAATAGTTACAGGTCAGAGACAGCTGTACAGTACTTCTGTAAAGGGAGTGAACAATACCTAATACTTTGAAAATAAGAAGGTAAAATATGGAAATGGTACTAACCTAACCTAACCGACTTAACCTTTATTTGTCTACATTCTTCTCAACACAAAGTAACAATTAATGAGCTGTAGAAACTTCCAACTCACTGTGTCTTCTCTTCTACCAGAAACTTATTTTCATACTGCATCCATCTCTCTCTCTCTCTCTCTCTCTCTCTCTCTCTCTCTCTCTCTCTCTCTCTCTCTCTCTACACGTTACACTGACAATGTTCTTCGATACAGGGAGTTTGTGGACGTCGAGAGCGGGGAGGTGGAGGTGGGTGAGGAAGTGCTAGCCAACGGTCGTAGCAGCATCGGTTCAGGACTCTTCGACTGTTCTCCCAGGAGCTCCGCGGAGTCCCACAACGACCGCTTCGAGATCATGGCGCGCAACTCCCTACCCGGCCTGCAGCAGCGGCGTCAGTCCACAGCCTCCGCCTTCATTCACGAGCCCATTACCGCTACCACCGACGACCGCAACTGGTCATGGCGCTACCTCAGGGTCAGTACACTTCACGCTGCTTTAAGGTCAGCATACTCTCCCTTAACACTGCCTCTGGGTCAGTATACTTTACCCTAATGCAGTCTTAGGGTCAGTATACTCTACCATGATACAGTCTTAGGGTCAGTATACTCTACCATGATACAGTCTTAGGGTCAGTATACTCTACCATGATACAGTCTTAGGGTCAGTATACCATGATACAGTAGGGTCAGTATACTCTACCATGATAGTCTTAGGGTCAGTATAGGGTCAGTATACAGTCTTAGGGTCAGTATACTCTACCATGATACAGTCTTAGGGTCAGATATACTTAGGGTCTATACCATGATACAGTCGGTATAGGTAGGGTCAGTATACTCTACCATGATACAGTCTTAGGGTCAGTATGATACAGTCTTAGGGTCAGTATACTCTACCATGATACAGTCTTAGGGTCAGTATACTCTACCATGATACCGTCTTAGGGTCAGTATACTCTACCATGATACAGTCTTAGGGTCAGTATGATACAGTCTTAGGGTCAGTATACTCTACCATGATACAGTCTTAGGGTCAGTATAATGTACTTGCCCGATAACTCCCGTACTTAGCGTTTTCCTTGGCTCCCAGTTTTCAGGTGAAAAAATTGACCAAGAAGGGCGGTATAGCTGTTTTCTCCCGAGAAACGCGGAAATTTTGCCCAGTGTAATCGCCCAAACGGGAGTATTCGGGCAAATTTTGACTGCATTTCGTCCCAAATATGGTTTTACAATATTTATAATTGAAAGGCATTGATTTTATTAAAACAAATTACTAGGAAACAATTTTAAGTGATTTTTAATGTAAATATATTATCGTTAGAATATTTCTTATAAAAGCAAATAGAAATTACAGATAAAATTTCATTTTACCTTTGTTTATTATCCACTGAGTGTGGCCAGCATGGATTCTCAAGCCTTACGAATAATTTGGACAAGGGACTCTGAAACTTCCTTTGTTGATAAAACAAAGGAATGTGTTGTGGGATTTCAGACATCCATTGTATCCCAAGAAAGCTTAAAACGACGCAAAGCTTTTAGACGACCCACCATCCTTTTTATTGTTCTATACTGAGTGACGGCAATATATGAACGGTGCTACAACTGGGCGTCTGATTAAGGAAGTCGGGTTTTTGACTGAGAACTGAAAAACGATAACTGAGAACGGCGGAAAATGTTCCCAGTATAATAACCCCTTAACACAGTGACCCTGACTTCTTCATTTCCTTCCACAGGAGAGATTCCGCATCAAGGATTTGGAGGACCTGTTCGAGCAATATCAGCTGCGCCTCCACCACGCCATGCTTATCGTCTACCTCTTCCTCCAGATCTTCCTGTCCCTCCTCTTCATCATTATCCTTGTCAGCACCACGGTTAGTCTCCATATAATGTCGTTAAATTTATTCCTTTTATTCTGACGGATATATTTCTCTTATACTAATTCTTCAAGCGTTACCTCTCTCGCCTGGCCATTATAAGTATTACAGTTTCTTAGTTCATGTGATCTTATTAAACAAACTAAAGTACGCGGTTAAAAATTATCATCTGTGTTCTCTCTACCAATTAAATATTTTTGACTGATTACGTCTTTTGTACATACTCTTTGGTTGTGTTTCATTTATTTTATTCTATTTTTATCTCCGAGTAGTGTAATGCTGCTTGTGGATTATGTATGATACTGTTTCTCCTCTGGACGGGTGATGTGGTTGATTCTGTAACTCCGTCATCCATCACTACAGTATGTCTTGGTCTTCGTATCTAAGGACTGATAAAACACTTAATAAGTCAATTCTGAGGTAACACTTCAACATTATTTGGTTAAATAAAGTTCTTGGAAACTGAAGCAGATAAGAAAATGATAGTTAATAGTGACAATTTAGAGATGAGTGCACAGCCTGGTAAGATTTGGCCAGGGGCTCTGTTAACAGGATTTACCAGACATGTGGAGTGAATTGTGTCCTGGTAAATAAACCGTGTTTGCTTACTGGTGTTCTATTGGGTAACAAAAGCCCGAAGAAGGAAAATGGTTAATAAGCTGAAAAAGGTCGAGAAACACTGACACTCTTCATTATGTCCACTGCAGGTCTGACTGACTAGTATGGCATCTGTCTTCCTGGTCAAATTTTCCCCTTCCTCCCTTGTCTTAGAAACATGTGGCACTTCAACCAACTCCCAAAACAGTGCCCCCATAAGATCCCTCCATTTATCGTTCAGACTTTTATCACTTACATCAATTGCCTCAAGTTCTGAAGATGTCATTGGTTGCATTAATCTCCATTTTCTGTTTCATATTTTCTCGATCGGCTGTTGATCTCTGCTATGTCTTTCATTTTTAGTTTTTACTTTATGTATATCTTCGGTAATTATTATTATTATTATTACTATTATGTATCTATTTTTGGCTCATGTCACTAACATTTCTAAAACCTTTACACACTATGGCTAAAGGCTTGATTGAGATCGTCAGTAAAATTGGAATAGGACTGAAGCGTCAAAACAGACTGATTATAAATTTGTACACGACCCAGAAAACAGTGATTAGGGTTACTGGTGGAAGTTCCTTACCAGCAGTGACTGGGAGAGGAATGGAGATTAGTCAAATGGATAGGATTGCAAACGAGACTGTTCTGGCGAGTAGAAAGCAGTCTGTTCAGAGGGAGGATGGAAGACTGGACGGAAAGCGACCATGAAAAAGACTGAGGATTGGGTTATTAGACGAAACGAGGACCGGACATACTCACTAGTGAAGGAGAAAGAAATGGACAAGTTGGATGCCACGGACCTGGATGATGCCGTCCCTTAGAGTCTCAAATATTCTTAACCTCAAGCTTATTATCTGACCTCCCACCTCTGTTGTCAGGGACGCTTCACCCATTTCTGTTGTCAAAAGTGGTGTTCCACAAGTCTTTGTACTGACTTCTGCTCATTTCCTCTTTATCAGTGACCTCCCATCCTATAGCAGTAATACCAACACAAATCAGCCTGCGAATTATTGATAATTAATTTGCGAGTAATCACAGTGGTTTCCCTCCAGAATGGTCTTGATTAAACTAAATAAAGGGAAACATAAAAAATATATATATTCAAATAGTTGAAATCAAAAGTACATTCATTTTTAAGATAAAAAAGCTGTAGCCAAATCAAAGGTCCGTCCATATGACGCTCTCTGTTATTTTAGTGTAAATATTACCCATCTCCACCTCTAACGTTTATGTTGTCTTTCTTGCAGTTGCATAGGAATTTGCTGCTGCCGGAGCTGACGGGCCACGCTGCCACCCTTGTGGTGTGCGCGGCTCTGCTGGTATATGTATACAACGAGCAAACCTTCCGTCAGTTTCCGAGACTCCACATCGTTTTGTCTGGCCTCGTCATTCTCACGCTGTTTGCCACCGACGTCGCCCTCACGCTCTACTTCCACGAGAAAGACGTCAGAGGTGAACACCACAAGGATGTCAAGGTGCGGGAGTGAATTTTTATTGATTTTGGGCCCCACAACACCCAGAAATGTTTGTTGATTGGTCTATGGTTAGTGATACCTGGCTGCTCCCTGTTTGAGCACTGACTAATCTCTCTATGACCCGTGTTGGCTTCTCTCTCTCTCTTCCCCAGATAGTGTGTTGCTACCGCCTGGCTTGCCGATGACTCCCTCATTGCATTATTTACTTTATTTCTTGTCTTTTCAGTCCTTCGCCAGATATCAGAATCTCCTGTTCATTTATCTATTTTGCATTAGTCATAATCAACAAGCAGGTTTGTCGTGTAATGTGTAAATGGTGTCAATCAATTCTAACAAGATATAGTTTTGTCATTACACCCTTTACAAAAGAAAAATCCACTGACTCTCACTGACTGAACATTTTATTTTTCTGTTTATATGTTCAGTCCACATGTAGTCTGAATTTACCCCCTAGATAACTGTTCTTTTCCCGCTGGTCAGTTCGGGAACATGGTGTACCTGCTGCTGGTGGTGTACGTGTTCCTGCCCATCCCCCGCAAGTGGCAGGTGACGTTGATGGCTCTACTCCTCACCCTTGGTTACCTCGCCCTTGGCTACTACTCCCTCAGCGACCACCAGACCTCCAGCATCCTCACCAAGGTATAAACAAGTTTGCCTCTTCATCCTCCTGCTGATGTACTGCTTATATTCTCTTGACTTCATAATGATTTTATTACGCTTGTGTGTGTCTGTGTGTGTTCATGTTGTGTTGGGTTAAGTTAGTTTTGGTTCATTGAGTGCAGTGATTAGCCTTTTCAGTTTCTTACTTGCTATCGTGTGTTTGTTTCTTGTTCTTCTCCGTGTAATCTGTCGTGGGGATATTACTGTAGAACACATCACATCAAAGGCTTTAATTTCCAATCATCTTTACGAGATTTTGTTGTTTTCGTATTCACTGGATATTGGCAAACTGTGCAATTACGTCTGTCACTAGCATAATTAGCGGCTCATTTGGTTGTTGTATTCAGAGCTTCTAAATATAATGTTCCTGCCAAATTTTGCACTCCAAATAGTAAGTAGAATTAAGTAAACTGCTGTTCTTATAAATTCACCAAGGTCGCCTCACACCTTTGTAATCAATAAACACACTTCTACAGTCTTCTTGCCCTTTGTCACCCGGTCTGTTGTCCAAGCACTAAGGGCCCTGTCCTGTATAGTAGGAGACAATGTTTAGAGTCTAAAATCTATACACTTCACAAAATGTGCCTAAAACAATAAATTTTCTGTTTCCTCAGTACTGACCATACGTTAGTACATTATAAGTGTCCTTCGTTCAATTGGAAATGTTGGCGTGTAATTTTATCCACGAGTGTATGTGTGTCTGGCCAACAGATGTGTGTGGACGCGTTCATCTTGGTGTGCGTCAACCTGGTGGGGGTGTATTGGCGTTTCATGAGTGAGGTGGCTTTCAGACGCGCCTTCCTCGACAAGCGTGGCAGCCTCGAGTCCAAGTTCAAGGTATGATTGTCCTTCCACCTGACTCGGGATACTCCCATTTCATTTGTGGTTTTAATATACTGTAGTAGTTTCTTCGTCATTATGAATGCCTGCCTTCATAATTGTTTACTCTCGTCTTCCACACCTGCCTTGTTCACCTTGGTCATGCCTACTGACCTGCCCACCTCTGGCCTGCCTCGTTTACCATCCCCGTGGTCACTACAGTTGGATGCAGAGAAGAAGCAGGAGGAGGGGCTGCTGTTGAGTGTGCTGCCCAAGAACATCATGCAGCAGGTCAAGTCAGACTTCAGGAATATGCTCGAGCAAACTGTATACAACCACAACCCCGTCTCTAAGAACAATCCCTTTCCGTGAGTACCATAACTCCGCGGGGGAGGGAGACCAACGTACAGACAGTAAGAGAGAGAGAGAGATGAGAGTAGTAGTTTTGCACAAATTAAGGCATGATTTAACATGATTGACGATAGTTATTTTTTAATGAATCATCCTTTGTTTATCATAACTTTTCTAGGTTACATAGAAACTGTTAAACTAAGTTATATGAAGTCCTCAGTTTTAAGGTGCTATCATTGATGGTATTCAATCGATGCGTAAGAACTGATAGTCTACTGCAATGGCTTCGATATAACGTACTTGTGATTATCTTACAGCTTAGAGAAGCAACACTGCTTTACAACAAAAGGCAATTGTTTTGTCTCCTCCCTCAGTGATCCTCAAATACAGACAAATGTATGTACATCCACACACGCATCCATCCATTTACACACACATACAGGACGTGGATTGTAGCGTTTATTCATACACACACACACACACAACATTTATACAATCCACTATTTAGCATTAATAAGTATCCTAACCTAACCTAACCTCCCCTGCAGAAACTTATATCTGAACCAGCACGAGATGGTGTCCATTCTGTATGCAGATATCGTCAACTTCACACCTCTCACTACCAAGCTTAGCGTTGACCAGCTCGTGGAGATGCTAAACGACCTCTTCGGACAGTTTGACGCCGCCTCCGAGGTAAGTCATCCTGTTCCAGTAAACTTACGATGTGGTGAAATATGATTCCCTTGCGAAGTACAAAGTGGACCAAGGCGGTGGGGTCCAGATGTGAGATAGCATTAATTTTGTTTCTCTGGATGTTCGGGCATACACAAGAGCAAGGACTAAAAACAGTTTTTTTATCCTCGGACAAGAGTACGATCACTTCGTTTGACCCTCCTTATAGCTGCTTTGGTGTCATATTTTCTAGGCTCATTTCTAAAGCAAAATTTTAGCTTGCAATTAAGGTGAATAAACTTTTATGCTTTCTATTTATACTCAGTTCTCACTGAAACTAGAAACAGTCTGGCATAGATTTTTTAGGAAGCACAATTGAATTAACGAGTAAATGTTTTCATGGGCTTTATTTAGTCGTGAGCTTCATTTCTGAAGTGTTTTGCATCTGCGTGTTTACATTATTATGTCTAGGGGAGTAATTTAATATTGTTAAACGAAATGAAACTGAGCAAGATATCCCCTTCACTTTACTCTGTCCTTCCTCCTCCTCCTTCTCACTTTGTACCACACCCCTAACCTTCATCTTCCATTCGCTCTAACGTCCTTTCACTCTCCCTTACCCCTGGCGTTCAGTGACAGTGTGTATCCCACAGACTAACGACTGCCTGCGCATAAAGATCCTGGGTGACTGCTATTACTGTGTGTCTGGGGTGCCGGAGTACACCAAGGACCACGCTAACAACTGTGTCAAGGTCGGCCTCGAGATGATTGATATCATCCGCGGGATCAGGTCAGTTCATCACCTCTCATATATCTCTCAAGTATAACCTGAAACAAGAAATGACATAGCGAAGTTAGCAGAAACCATTTTAGTGTGAATAATGAAAGTTCTTGTACAGTACGTAATAGATTTATGTACAAGACCATAAATAGGTGTTAAAACTAATATTTGAACAATCTAAATAGTTAAAGAATGTACAGGTAACATTTATTTTGTGTTCTCAGGGAGGAGAGGGCAGTAAACGTCGACATGCGAATAGGTATACACAGTGGAAGAGTTCTGTCTGGCCTGATCGGTGTACGCAAGTGGCAGTTCGACGTGTGGAGCAACGACGTCACCATCGCTAACCATATGGAGCAGACGGGCGTGGCGGGGTGAGTGACTGGCTGACTGGTACAGTATAGTCACATTTAAAACCAAGTCAATCAGTATGATATCGATGTAAAAATTAAAACCTGAGTTAAAAACCTTTGATAAACATAAAATTTTGTTTATCGAATTCGTTAAGGGCATAATTAAGGTGACACATGAGAAATATATGAAGTTTTCTTGAAGTTCAGAATTAAGAGTGAGAAATATAATGAAAATATGATGTCTGTTGAATCTGTTGCAAATAGCTGGGATATTTATTTACTTGCTGACAGAGTAATGAATCAAAAGATGAATGTGGATGTCAGTGTTATGTACTATATTAGTGTCACATAAAAGAGAAAACCATATATATATTTGACTTACGTGGGAGTCTTACCATAAATAAAACTTCAAATACTGGATGGGTGGAAGGCAACATGAACAATAATTTAGCGTCGACACTGGAAGGAAATCACAAGAGATGAAGATAACAATAGGCTGCTACTCAAGGCATAGGTGGAAGTCAAGAGTGGATTTAATGACCATATCATAAAAGTCAAAATGGGAGCAGAGATTAATGTTATAAGTACAGAAGATGGTAAAGATTAAAAGTACTGAAAGTTATAACAGAAAGTAACGTATAAGTGGCCAGTCACTTGCACAGGGTAAGTATACAGTAATGGAGCTTAAGATAATGTTTTTGTATACTGTATAGTAAAGACAGTTTATTTCCTCATTTAACAGTAATGTATGTAAGAGTAACATTAGGTACACATGATGTTCATTTGTAAACTACTTTTCAGGAGATTCATGGCGTCAATGCTAATGACAAAATATACTTATATTTATTAAACGATAGTTTACCCAGCTTTTAAGGATTGTGTATGAAATTTAGCATTAAAACATTTTACTCGTATAAGGGTAATGTCCCCACTCCTTAGATTAGATGAAGTTCTAACCTTAAAAGATAATTCAAACGATTTTTTTTTGTGTATGTGTGGGGGGGGGGGGGGCGGGTGGAAAACTCCAGGTTGAGTGCAGGGAGTGACCTACCTACCATTGCGGGAGATTATCATGTGCTCAATATTGCTATTATCTTATTTCACAGTCGGGTTCACGTGACCCAGAAAACCCGCGAGCTACTCTCTGGCCTAGACTACGGGTTCGAACCCAGCGGCGCACAGAAGAAGGACCAGCTGTTGCAGACGGAGGGTATCGAGACCTTCCTTATCATCCCTAAGCGAAGGGTGAATTTTGCCTTGCGTTGTGTGTGTGGGTTACGTCCGTCCTGTCGTCCTAGTGTTGGTCATTGTTGTTCACTGTGCCTACCGATAATCTTTGTTCATCTACAAGCTCCTATGAGATTTAGGTTTGTAAAGGGACTAGAAGATATTTACAACCCCGCGTTCTTCAAAGTCTGAATCAACGCCAACAAGAGTTATAACTGCAACATGGAATATTTTTTGCCGGTGTTATTGGCGATGCGTCACCTTACTACTACAACAACATATTTGTTAAATGAAGATGTCTTACACAGAATAAGTTGCATTTAAGTCCTGAAAATGCTTATTATTTTCTGTTGAGTTAACTGTATTCTTAATGGCGGTGGACACTGTTTTCCAGAGACTTGGCAAAGTGACAATTCACGGCTGTCTTCTTTTTTTCCGAAATCAAATTTTTCCTCCAGATTTATCTACCATCAGACTGTATTTTTGAGAAGACCGTTACTTATTGTGGCCTTGTATTATCCAAGTACATCTTTAATAACTTGTAAAAACCTGAGTACAGCCTCAACCAAACTCCTCCCTCATTTGCTCGCCCTTATGTGTGTCTTTCATACTTAGATTAATTTTCACCTCCTCTGTTTTCTTTCTACGTGTTTGTCATGTATCAGTTTAGTTTTCCTGTTTTCTATCCTTCACACTATGTTTCATCAGTCAAAGAAATTCAGGATTTGCTGTAAGACAATTTTACTACACAACATAAGTGTTCTCTTCAACCGTGTTCGTCTGTCTGTTCGTCCGTCTAGTTCGTTGTAATGAATATGTATATTTCTCAATGTTCTTTAATTGTCTTTTGTTTCATGTTATATTTGTCTTCTAAATGATAAATGTGTTATTTATTTATATGATTACAAAGTTAGTAACTAATGTATAATTTAGTCACAACCATAATGATGCAATAGTCACATCAGTGACATTATTTCATAGCTGACAACAACATCAACAGCCAGACACATCCATCGTACCACCCTCCACCACACGCTATCAGTCATTCGCATTTTTAACACACCCTCACGTACACACACACTAACACACCCTCACGTACACACACACTAACACACCCTCACGTACACACACACTAACACACCCTCACGTACACTAACACACTCTTACATCATAGTATAACACGGCAAGGGTCCATTACTATCATATAATATTCACCTACAGCCGGGAACTACCAGGAGGGTGTCATACTCACAGTCGTCGTCCATCAAACCCAGGATCTCGGTGTCTACGGATCCGGCAGACCTAAGGAACCTGTATGAGGGCGACGTAAAGAGGATCACCAAGGTGCAACTCCCAGGCGGCGCCACTCGAGGATCCCTTCTTAATCGGGTGAGCCATGTCTTATTCGGGTGAGCCAAGTAAAAGAGAAATAGTCGCCCGGATAGCTAAGGTGGGAGGGGAAGCATAAACTTTGGACTGTATATTTTATGGTGAAGGTTCAGAAAGAGGAGGCAGGTAGCTTGGTTTCACTCTCACTCCTATTGTTTACACATTCTTCATCCGCCACTAACAGCGGGCTTGATCTTATCCTGTGTCTGTTCTTAGGAAGTGGTGGGCGTTTCAATTTGTACATCATTTTTCAAAAGCGGTTTGAAGGATCATAACGAAATTTGCTACATGTGTCCCTTATCAAGAGAGGATATATTAATTATTTTATGGCCAAGGATATTATAGTAGTTTAAAGGAAATTAGTTTGTACCATTAGCGCTCTCCAAACCTGAGGGGTGGGGGACTTTAGAGAAAAGAAAGAACACTATTTATTTTCTAGTTAAAATGTCAAAATTCTATCATTGTAGACATTATTTGACCATGATTTCCATTTTTTTTTACACTCTGATTGTCTTTATTGAGCCTGTTAGACATTTTCGACCCGTCCTGCTGGTCATGTTTTAGGAATATAGGCTATCCTCTCTCACCCTAGAATGTTCATAATGCCAACAGAAAATGCATCATTCCTCCTCATAACGCCAGGTGTTCCACATGCGCTCATAATTATACTAGGGATTTCTCATTTGCTCATAATGATGCCACGTGCTCCAGACCATCCTACCTCCCTCTTATAGTGGCCAAGACCATCCTACCTCCCTCTCATAGTGGCCCAGACCATCCTTCCTCCCTCTCATAGTGGCCCAGACCATCCTACCCCCTCTCATAGTGGCCAAGACCATCATACCTCCCTCTCATAGTGGCCCAGACCATCCTTCCTCCCTCTCATAGTGGCCCAGACCATCCTACCTCCCTCTCATAGTGGCCCAGACCATCCTTCCTCCCTCTCATAGTGGCCAAGACCATCCTTACCTCATGGGCCCAGACCATCCTACTCTCCCTCATGGTGGCCCAGACCATCCTACCTCCTCATAGTGACCCAGACCATCCTACCTCCCTCATAGTGGCCCAGACCATCCTACCTCCCTCATAGTGGCCCAGACCATCCTACCTCCCTCATGGTGGCCCAGACCATCCTACCTCCTCATAGTGGCCCAGACCATCCTACCTCCCATAGTGGCCCCAGACCATCCTACCTCCTCATGGTGGTCCAGACCATCCTACCTACCTCATGGTGGCCCAGACCATCCTACCTCCTCATAGTGGCCCAGACCATCCTACCTCCCTCATGGTGGTCCAGACCATCCTACCTACCCATGGTGGCCCAGACCATCCTACCTCCCTCATAGTGGCCCAGACCATCCCTACCTCCTCATAGTGGCCCAGACCATCCCTACTCCTCATAGTGGCCCAGACCATTCTACCTCATGGTGGCCCAGACCATCCTCTCATAGTGGCCCAGACCATCCTACCTCCCTCATGGTGGTCCAGACCATCCTACCTCCCTCATGGTGGCCCAGACCATCCCTACCTCCCTTCATAGTGGCCCAGACCATCCTACCTCCCTCATGGTGGTCCGGACCATCCTACCTACCTCATGGTGGCCCCAGACCATCCTACCTCCCTCATAGTGGCCCAGACCATTATTACCTCCCTCATGGTGGCCCAGACCATCCTACCTCCCTCATGGTGGCCCAGACCATCCTACCTCCCTCATAGTGGCCCAACCATCCCTACCCCTCATGGTGGCCCCAGACCATCCCACCTCCCTCATAGTGACCCAGACCATCCTACCTCCCTCATGGTGGCCCAGACCATCCTACTCCCTCATAGTGGCCCCAGACCATCCTACCTCCCCCATGGTGGCCCAGACCATCCTACCTCCTCATAGTGGCCCAGACCATCCTACCTCCCCATAGTGGCCCAGACCATCCTACCTCCTCATGGTGGCCCAGACCATCCTACTCCCTCATAGTGGCCCAGACCATCCTACCTCCCCTCATGGTGGTCCAGACCATCCTACCTCCCCTCATTGGCCCAGACCATCCCCTCTCCTCATGGTGGTCCAGACCATCCTACCTCCCTCATAGTGGCCCAGACCATCCTACCTCCCTCATGGTGGCCCAGACCATCCTACCCCCTCATAGTGGCCCAGACCATCCTACCATCCCACTCCCCCTCATAGTGGCCCAGACCATCCACTACCCCCCATGGTGGCCCAGACCATCCTACTCCCTCATAGTGGCCCAGACCATCCTACCTCCCTCACAGTGGCCCAGACCATCCTACCTCCCTCATAGTGGCCCAGACCATCCTACCTCCCTCTCATAGTGGCCCAGGCCAGACCATCCTACCTCCCTCACAGTGGCCCAGACCATCCTACCTCCCTCATAGTGGCCCAGACCATCCTACCTCCCTCTCATAGTGGCCCAGGCCATCCTTCCTCCCTCATAGTGGCCCAGACTATCCTACCTCCCTCATAGTGGCCCAGACCATCCTTCCTCCCCACACAACGTTCATAACTACGCAGTCCCCTACGCATCTGCCACATCCATCACCTATAGGCTCAATAACAGTTCCATGGACCCCGCTCTTTCCCGTAATTACTCTTTCGTGCCTGTCTTCGTCCCGCCTATAACACTCCACCTTCACCGTCCACCCACAGAGAAGGTCAACCCACTCAGAGAACGCCTTGGCATCCAAGAGACGGACAGTGGTGACGGACAGCGCCCTGGCTAACTTCCAGAGGATCATGGTCAACTCTAAGGAATTCATGGAGAAGGCGATAGAGAGCATGCCACTGAGGAAGTATGAGTGAGTAACACCCTTGAGAGGGACGCTATACTCTCACTTAATGATAAAATTAATAATGGAAAGATTGTGTTTAATGTTACCAATAGGTTTAAATCTGCTATCAACAACACCTTCCCAAGCCAAAAAAAAAATGTATGATCGTGATTTACGCAATTTCTTTGTCAAAAATTAACACTATTCAGCTGGCTGATAGCGTCACTCGTAGACGTAAGCGGAAAAACAACGGGCAAAACAAAGGTTGTAAATGCTAGTACTATATATATGTATGGCACACACGATCAAAAAATTAGTTGTGCATACCATACTGTATGTCGCGCGAAACAATCTGACGCCACAGACGACGGATATTGAATAATGCCATATATCGCTTGCTAGCGACATTTCCTGTTTTATCCATAGTAAGTACAGTATTTTTATTATATGTACAGTCCCATTCACCAGTGCGATTACAGGGGCTCGTCATATAAACTTTCCACAAATCATTATCTTTGAGATATTTGTTTTAATTTGATTCCATGGTCTTTACTATTGAGTTTACTTATGTCGAACATAAACAAACACAGACTGCCACATTGCACAGAACATGACGAGCCCCTGTAAACGCACTAGTGAGGGGGACTACATTCAGAAGAAAATAGGACTTGGAAACTTTTGCTCTGTGTACTGAAATGACACGCAACAGGGTTTTCCATGGCGACAACTGAAGTATATAAGTTTGTCTTGCAGCCAGTGGTTCAAACCTGAGGGCATCAACCCCTTGCTGCTGACCTTCACCATAGAAAAGTGGGAGCTGCCTCTCCTACGTCAGGCAGATCCTCTCTACAGATACTATATCCTCTCTGCCGTCGTCATCTTTATGTCCATCTTCGTCACCCAGCAGATCCTCATGCCTGTGTAAGTTATTTATTCTCGGGTTTGAGTGACCAGGAGGGGCTGTGGTTGTGAGTGACCAGGGGCTGTGGTTGTGAGTGACCAGGGGGACTGTGGTTGTGAGTGACCAGGGGGACTGTGGTTGTGAGTGACCAGGGGGGGCTGTGGTTGTGAGTGACCAGGGGCTCTGGTTGTGAGTGACCAGGGGGACTGTGGTTGTGAGTGACCAGGTGGACTGTGGTTGTGAGTGACCAGGTGGACTGTGGTTGTGAGTGACCAGTGATAAGCAATGCATCTAATTATTAAGTAAGAGTCATTAATTAAATAAGTAATGAGCTTCAAAGGTGACGTTGAGACCTCTCTTGGGCGGCACAGACCCGTGGACGTCTGCGTTTGACCAAGCTAAATAAATGCTTGCTAAATGCTTACTACATGCTTGCTATGGAAAACATCTTTGATCCCTCCGGGTCAATGTAAAATGCATAATGAAAACTTATTCATCCATCGTGTATAATACTCTGGTTGCTATACTGGTTACAGACTAAACTAGACTAAACTGGTTGCATGTGTGTGTGTGTGTGTGTGTGTGTGTGTGAGAAACATTTTTGTTCCTAGCTAGGTCTCAACTGGTATGCTGCTATGAGTGGTCTCTGACCACTAATGCAAGTGATTATCTTACCTCATCTTACCAAGTAACAAAGTTGCAGACTTTAAGGAAAAAATTATTTCATCATGAATCTATCTGGTGTTGTGTACAGTTTAGGAGGGAGATAGGAAGAAACTGGTTCACAAATAGGGTGGTGGACGAGTGGAACAAGCTTTGCAACTTTGTAGTAAGTGCGGGAACTCTGGAAAGTTTCAAAAGGAGGCTAGATAGATTCATGGATGATAGAGAGTGGTAGTAACTCTCGACAGGAGCTGCCATGCACAGGCCAACCGGCCTATTGCAGACTCCTTATTTTCTTATGTTCTTATGTTCTTATGTATTCTGGATATAATACCCCTTTTTGCACTTTACTCACGGAAATTCATAATACAGTATATAGACTTGCAGATATTACACTGGCAGATCACCAAAATACATAGCCTTATTGAATTATCCAGGACACATAATATCAACAAACAGTGTCATATATTTAATCTAACAAGGTAGGTAACATAGCAACATCAAGTTGAAGAACTTGGTACATGGGTGTCTTACGGTATTCGAACCCATAAATCTCTCAGTCTTCTAGCAGTATGGCAATCCGTTTTCGATAATGTTACCAGTGTTAATAATATTTGCCTTATTGACACATTTTTATAAAATGTCTGTACAGACACACTTTGTTTAACTGTTATGAAGCGTCTCCAGTATTGTTGCAATTATATTCCGTTTTATGAAACTGATTCAATGATACTTAATTGTTTAGAGTTTTGAACTCTCTTAAAAATAAACTGAAAAGTATTGGGAGTAAAGTGCGAAAAGGAGTGATGCCTGTCTTAATTAACATTTTGTTACGCAGTATCCAATGTTCTTTTCAAACATTAAAATCTTATATGGTTTACATATATCCCAAATATAATCATTGAACATTGTGTAGTAAGTAATTTATGGTGTGACGGGTCCTTCACCCTCCAGGAACACCTGGGGTTGGGTGGCAGGAGTAGTGTGCTTCAGTATCCTGGTGGTGGTGGGCCCTCTGGTGTGGACGTCCACCATCCACAAACATATCGTCGACCCTCACGATGACCGTGAGTACGAATCCCACAAGCAAAACGCCATCACTACCTTCTTTTACACCTCCTCCAAGACCATCATCTCATCAATCAGTTTACGGGTGATGCTCTTCTTATTGGTGTGCATCTCCCTCTACGTCTGTGCTGTTATTAATGTGGTAAGTTGTGTATCGCTTAAGTCTCACCAGTTTTTATATTCATCGAAATATGTAATGATGCGACACTTGTGCACATTTTCTGATCATGTCATATCCTACCACTAGACATGGGGCTGAAACCGGCTTCGGCTTCGAAGCCAGGGGCACGGTACCGACTTCGGCTTCCAAGCCAGGGGCCTGCCTTCTGATTTTCTCCTTTATACAGACACACTGACCAAATTGTGACTTCACAGCTGAGCTGATCCCTGACTTTTCTGTTCACACAATGACCTGATCTGTTAATTAAAAAAGGTCAGGTGCGTGCTACAGCTGATCCCTTCTATTTCTCACAATGATCTGACCTGAACCTCGGAAAAATACAATACTACACGTACAGTATAGTACTACTTCCCTGCCTCCTCAGCCCTAGGTGCGGTTGGCTGGCTGATACATGATTGGCTTGCAATGCTTCATTGTGATTTGTGACTATATTATGTTTCTATGTTATCATTTATATTTAATAGAGTTTTTGCAATACTAATTTGTTTTGAATAATGAGTAAAATAATTAAATGAATGAAATAAATTAATAAAATGATGAATAATGAATAAATTAAATTTATAGGTAAATTGTTACTATTAGCAAAAATTTTCAGTCCATAGGGAAAGTAAAAACTTAACCCAAGCTTAAAATAAAAACAGCTAACTCAAAACCTTGCTTATTGGTGTAGATATGTTAGCAAATGGGGATGACTTCTGAGACTTGTAGAAATGCGCCTCTAACCATAATCATAACAAAATAATGAACATATTTTATATTGTTTTAAGAAACATTATGGTTTTTTACAAAATTAGCTTCATTGTTTCTTACTTTATGATTTGAAGTTTTCCTGTGAAGTAATTCCACATGTTAACACTATGATGTGTGTCCTAAAACTGACCTGACAGACTGACCCATTATTGTGTGTCAACCCTTGTAACCGGCAGCAAGTTGAGTCCAATGTCACTAGTTGTCATATCTCAGAGAAGGGGGTTGATAATGACAAGTGTTGACCCTACCTCATTGTCAGGTCTCTGTCAGGAGAAGGGATGTTGAGCCCAGGAAGACTTGTAGGTATGCCCTCGTGTTGGTGGTGCGTTTTCAGGATTTTGAACGTTTCAATGAGATCTGCCCTATTGTGCCTTGTCTGAAGGGTTGTTTGTCCCAAGCCCTAAGTCTACAGTACGGTGGATAATCGAGATGACATAGTTCCGGGATAATCTTAGTTGCTAAGTGTTGCACCTTTTCTAGGGAAGTTAGATCTTTCTGGGGGTAGGATTTCCATGCCCGTATTACTGTAATCCAGACTAGGACGTACTTGAGATTCGTACAATTGAAGGAGCATTTTCTTATCTTTCAACTGTTCAAATCTCAAGTTGATAACATAAATTACTACACCAACATCAATAATAAAATACGCTGTATGATTTTAAATAAAAATTTGTCTTCTAATAGTTTCTCTTTTTTTACGGCAGCCTGAGTGTAAAAAAATAGTGGAAGAAGTACTTTCCCCTACCTCTGATTATGCCTCCACTACTACCAGGAACCAAACTAGCGGAGTTCACATTCCGCCACTCTGTTGTGACCCCTGGGTATGTTTTTTTTCCATAATTTCCTTCCCAAATGTTGCTTTGCATATTAGTTCTTAATAATACTCCAAGAATTCTAAAATGCGTTTCCTAATCCTAGTTCCTTAAATGTTATGGTGCATTAATCCTATTACTCTTGTATGTCTCCGGCAGTACTTCACCTACAGCTGTACTCTCATGCTGCTGATGGCTTGGACTTTCTTCAGGATGCACTTCCTCCTTAAGTTCTCAGTATACTTAATTGCTGTGTCTGTCTATGCACTCTTCGTCTTGGACTTTGCTGAGGTTGGTTTGAATACAAAGTTTTTTTTTTGTCATTGTCGTAGTCTGGCACAGAGAGAACCTTCTAATGTGTCGTATTTTGCCTCTGGCGTAATTAAATCAATATTATTACAATAGTTTTTATTTGTGAGAATTTAATATCATGGAATAAATTAGAACAAATAATAAAATATCTTGTCTTAAAAAACCTCACTGCTTATGTAACAGGCGAGGCTAAACTGGCAGTAATATTATTTCTTCTGGTATAATAAAGATTTGGACATGTCCCACCACATGTTGCATCCGGTACATATTTCAAGAATTTAAATGTCTTAAGTTTACTATTTATACTCTTGCAGTGGAGACTACCGAGACTGGAGAGTTAACAGATATACAATAAACAAAACAAAAAATTATCGATAAACTAAAAGAATGTAATTAACACATTGAGACCCAAGTAAAAGATACAGTGCTTACACTGTTTGGCTTCTCTCCTGTACAGGAAATATACACCCATGAGTTGCTGGGCGATACGTGTCCTCCCTTAACGGTGACCAGCTTGGGTCTCAGCCCAGGGATAGGTCACGTTCTCTTCATCTGCATGATCTTCTTGGCACTACACATGATGGATAGGCAGGTATGGTACGAATTTTGCTGGTACACAGCTGAAAAATGTTAAGATTGTGGGAATTATTGACAACACACCCGTCGCCGAATTTTCAAAGAAAATTAATTTGTTAATAGTGACAAGATACCCGTCATAGCCTAATTTGTTTTGATGGGTCTATTCTTGCTATATTTTCATCATTGAGTTCGGATATGATATTCATTTCTTCGGTAAATGGTTTGTTTGGTAGATATTTAGGCCCAAAGGCTTGCATTAGCTGCACTACTTCATCTTGCGCGGCAATAAATCGGACAGGCGCTCGATTTTTTCTTCTGCTTAGTGTATGTTTATAAACCTCTTGGTTCAGGTGGCATCTCTCATGTCCACTAAAAACATAAAATTACACCATATTATAGTAAGTTCTTTCTGTATAATATGCAGTTTAGGAGGGCTGAGCCCCATGGCTAGGAAGTTAGGTAAGGTTAAATAGGTTTCATTGGTTAGATTGGTGTGGTCTTCTAACAACGCTTCAGCCTCTTGTTTTTCTTATCAACTAAGGTTAGGTTAAGTTTGATTTAGAAATACTGTAACCTCATTTTAACACATTTGCCCAAACTATGACAGTGTCCACAGCAAAATACAGTGAAATTCATCATTTTCAAATTCATTTTCTATGAAAAATCGGTAACAGGTTTGTCATCAATAATTACCAATGACTTCAAAAGTGCTGCAATTTCACTGTGTTATTGCAGTGGATACTGTCGTAGTTTGGGCAAATATGTTAAAATGGGGTTATTCTAAAACCTAACCTAACCTAAGTTGATAAGAAACACAAGTGGTAGAAGCATTGTTAACAGACGGCATCAGCCTTACCAAAGAAACCTACTTGACTTAGTAGCTGGGGGCTCAGGAACCCCCCCAGACCCCCAGGCATATTAACAAAAAAACTTTCTTTGATATGGTGTAATTTTATATTATTTTTGTGGACGTTAGAGTATGCTCGGACTGATCGGCTCGGTGTTGCGCTGAAAGAAACAAAGAGCAGATGACAACATCGAGCGCTCATCAGGCCACCATACTGTTTCACTGCCAAAAAAATTAAGTAGTGCCAGCCTAGCTTAACTATCTACTAAATGAAGCATTTGCCCAAGAAGTGAATATCATATCCGAACTCAACGATGAAAATATACACCGGTAATAAGAAAAGATACATAAAAAATGCGGGGATGGGCATGTCCTCAATTTTAGCCACGATTTTAGGTGCCTTTGCTTGCCACAGAAGCTACCGGGTCTAAATGCCAAGCACTCAGCTTCCCACTCTTCTCCATCACGTCGAAAACACTTGAATTTCGTTTCTAATTCTGCAGTGATTTTACACTTTCGTTTTGGTATACTGTTTAGAGATATCAAAATAAAATATCAAATAAGGATCTCTTGAAGAAACACTACTGTGCACAGTATGGACTTGGATAAGATACTGAAATTAGGGCCTTGGCTGAGCCAGGGGAGGCGGCTTTGGAAAAATCGTAATGGTCCAGGACAAAACCTGAACGGTGCAGCGAACTAGACAAGTCTAGGACCAATAATGAACACTTTTCTCTCCCTCATGATCAACAGACGTTTTAAGATATCTAAAAACTCCTCCTGGGAGGAGATTTAAGGACCAAAAAGAAGGGCATGTCCGGGAAAATATGTACGTATGGTAACCTTAATAAAGACAATATAAGTACAGCTGCAAAATGTGTTCCTACACCCCCTGTGATAACCCATGTTTCCAATGGAACTGTCACAGTAGTAGTAGTATCACTATTTATGAATGAATGGGTATTGGTCATTTAAAAATAGACGTGATTGATTCATAAATATTGACACTACTACTGCGATGGTGCGGTTTGGAGACACGGGTTACCACAGGGGGTGTAGGAACACATTTTGCAACTGTATCTGTACAGTATATAGTGCACATAGGCCATGAGAGCATACAGTTTCCTATGTGCCAAGACAGTGCAGGTAAACATTAAGGCAACTTGACCAATTATAGCTGACAAAACTGTCAGATCCTTATTTCCAGGAAGGTCCTTTGTTTTGGCTTACACTTGGTCTCGAATCAGTAATAGTATATCTATTGAATTTTTCTTTTTTTTAAAATTCAACACGCATTACATTGCGCTTAGATTATCTGAGGCTGGCAGATCACTACTGCAGTACAGCAGTCTGTGGTTAACCCCTAGGTTTTGGGCTATGGTAGGTATACCCCCCAATGTGGATATATTCAGGAACTTTTTAAAACAATTCTAGTCTTATAAACTGTCCATTCATGATATAAACAGGAAATAAATACAGTCCTTACCACAGGTTGGCAACACGGGTTAGGAAGAGTCGAGAATGTTCGTGAAGTGGCGTGTATGTGATGCACCCATAACGTTATCCTAATGCCGTCAAAAACACAGTCAAAATCACAAATCCAAACAAAAACAAACCATACAACCTCTTATGGTCGCTGCATGTAATGTCAGGATCCTACTGGATACTGGCACAAATGAGCATCCTGAACCAAGAACTGCCCTTGTGGCAAAAGAGCTGGCTAGGTATAACATCGACATAGCAGCCATTAGCGAGTCCTGGCTCCCACATGAGGGCCAACTCACAGTACTGGGGTCTGGCTATACCTTCTTCTGGAAGGATAAGCCTTTATGGAGTTGGCTTTGCCATCCGCCAAAGCATCCTACACAAGCTGACTGAAATGCCTATTGGGATTTACGAGCACCTCATGACGCTTCGAGTTTCACTGAATCACTCACGTCATGCCTTCTTCATCACTGCATACGCCCCAACACTGGATGCAGAGGATGACATCAAGAAGGTCTTTTACGCCAACCTCGACAGGGTGCTAACCTCTATCCCCAGAGAAGACAAGGTTGTGCTCCTTGGCGACTTCAATGCCAGAGTTGGCAGAGATGCTAACATTTGGGAGGGAACCATAGGGAGAAATGGACTAGGTAAGTGTAATCCCAAAGGCTTATTTCTCCTCAGCAAGTGTGCTGCGCACAACCTCACTATCACCATTACCTTGTTAAAGCAGGCTGATAAGTTCAAGGGCTTGTGGCAATACCCACGATCCAAACACTGGCATCGCATTCACTACATCATTGTCAGAGAATGAGATCGCCGAGATGTCCTCGTCACCCGTGCCATATGTGGCTCAGACCACTGTGACACTGATCATCGACTTGTCAGAGCCAAGCTCTCACTTCACGTCGCCCCAAAACGGCGAAGGCAGCAAGCCTCCAGAAGAGGTTTTAATACTAATCGTCTGGAGGATCCAGCGCCAGCGGTAGCACATGCTTTCAGAGAGCAGCTCGAACATGTGCTTATAAACAACTCGACAGCAAACAACGCACTCCGAAACAAACTTCTTCCTGAGGTGGAAAACTTCCTCCTAGAATCTCAATGTGGCTTTAGACCATCACGTGGCACCACTGACATGAACTTTGCTGCCCACCAGATACAGGAAAAGTGCAGAGAAAGGCGACGTGACTTGTACATGGCCTTCATCGACTTAACCCAAGGCCTTCGACTCGGTCAACAGGGAAACCCTCTGGTGGACCCTCAGCCGTTTTGACTGCCCACCAAAATTTATCGCCATTGTGAGCAACTCCACGATGGTATGAACGGCAGTGTCCTGCGCAACGGCACCCAGTCTGAGTTCTTCCCCATCCAAACAGGGGTTAAACAAGGGTGTGTACTGGCACCAACTCTCTCTTCCATTTTCTTGGCTGCCTTCTTACCCGTGCCAGTGCCAATTTAGCCGACGGGGTGGCCATCGAGTAAAATAGTTGGTAGCGTTTGGGAGAACAGTACGGGAAACAAAGAAAAATAGTCATAGTTGGTAGAGATATTTTGAGCCAGATGACATCACAAAGAGAAGATTCAACATCCGTGAATCGAGCTATAGGTGTACGTGTGTTGCAGTAGGCCCATACACCTCCTTTAGAACGGAAAGAGGTATAAAGGTTGTAGTTGGAAATTTGAAAAGGTTTGGGTGAAGCTGATTTGGTCAGTTGAAGTTCAGATAGTAGCAAGAGGTCGAAGGAAGAGGTTAATAGATGGTGCTCCACAGAAGGAAAACTGGATCTCCGGCCGCGAATGTTGGAAAAATGAAGTGTGAAAAAAAAACCCCGATCCTACAGCAACCGCGGTGACGTCAGTTGAGGCCCCAGTAGTTTGATGATGATATGGTCGGCCCTGGGATCCACGACCTTCCCCACCAGTGGGACCCATCCGAGAAGGTCCCGCTTTAATATTATTGTCAACTGATATCATAGGAGAGTAAAAGAGTAGAAAGAATAGAACAGATCAAGTGTGAGAAAGGTTATATATGTTGTGTTGTCAAAGTAAGAGAGACAGTTGAAACCGTTCAATTGTGTGTAAATGAGGAAGAAAGACTCAGCAGCCTGGGGCTTGGTCACAATTTCCGTGATGCCATATAGCAGCAGGGTCTATCATTAGACAACACATTATGATTCCAATATCTAGAATTATAGATATAATACACAGTATGCTAACTGGCCTGTAACTACCTACATCAGACCTTCAGACCTGTTGCCTTTCTTATACAGTAGATAGGCGTTACTCTGGCAAACTTACATTTATCCTCTTCGCCACTGGTCGACTCGTTAGCCACTTGGGCGTTAGGTCACATCTCTGTTATGCACTTCTGGCAAGTACTGGGCATGTATAATGGCTCCTGGATGTATCTGTACCTGTATTAGTGTTGGTCAAGTCTGATCTTGAAAGAGTTCACGCTCGGTGCCGTCACAACACACTCAAGTAGATTGTTCCAGAAATATACAATTCTCACTAAAAAAAATTTGCCCTCACAATTTTCAACTGAGTGGTGCCTTCTGAGATGTTTATAAACTTCAATTGGGTCACCCCTTGCCTGTCTATAGTACAGTATAAGCTAGGCAGTTGCAGGCATTCTAATCTCTCTGGGTAATTGAGGTGCTATAATACATGCACCAGTCTGGTGGCCCTCTTTTGGACTTTTTCAATCAACTAACAGTCCCTAGCATATCATGGGGTGACAGTACTCCAAACGGGGAAGCACTTCACTAAGTTATCCAAATACTTCAAGGACAAATATATTAATGTGTCATATTTATGTCTATACCTGTACAGTATGTGTAAATTGTAAAATTTTAAATAAAAGATAAAAAAAAAAATGAGACTAATTGAATGAGCTATTGGTGTCTTTAAAATAGTGGCACCACCCCTCAGAAGCCTGTATGGGGTGATATCAATACCTGTGACCTTGTAGGGGTCCAATTTATTTTACTCCTTTAGAACAAAGTCCTCTGTCACCTCGTGGATTTCAATATTATCTGGAGTGATACCTTTCTTTTTGTAGTGGGATTTAAAAGCCTCTGATCCCACACTGTACACCCCTGTAATTGTGGTCTGCAACTTTTGATGCATTGTGACGGAGCTCATCATTGATGTTTAACGCTACATTGGAACATTATTTTGGTTTGTTGCTGTGTACAAGGGTTTTTATTGCTTCCGGAGCTTTTGGGGGTTACAGGTACTGTACGGTATTCTTATTTTCTTCAGTTTTACTGTTTACATATTCTTCTTTTGTTTGCTTTACATCTTTATCTACTTTTTTCTAAACCTACAAAATACTCTGTATGACTCGTCATCATATGTCTATTTTGTTCAAACTTATGAGCGAGTTGATCTGTGTCTGATTTCAATATCTCGCTGGTCATCCAAGGGTCAGTCCTAGCTTTTATTCTTATCTTTTTCTTCTGTGCTACGTCATCAAGAACTTCATTAAAATTAGTTTTGAGCTTCTACAAGGCCTCCTTTACCTCCATGCAATTTGTCACATGTGACCAATCGGTATTTTGTACTTAGTTTATTTTGGAACTCTTTTTTATTGTAATTCTTCATTAACTGTATTTTGAATACTTTGTGCTGTCCAGTCTTACCCCTGAGCTTTTTCCTGCTGCACTAGGTGATAAAGTGGTCTCTATGGCCATCAGGAATGACCCCTACCTGACTGATTTTGATGTGATCATGTATGGTGACCGAAGAATTTGTTGTCCGGGTTGATGAATTGATTTGTCTATATTTATTATACATACTATTTTCTTCTTGACCTAACAAATATTGAAGTCACCCTGTATTATTGTTTCACAGACTATCTTTGGGTTGGTGGTAGAGAGTACAGTACCTACAATGATGGGTTTAGTCTTGGGTAGCAATATTTCCAGCCCTAGGCCCTCCAGTTGGTCATTATATAAATCAGATCATATACAGTACTGTGTAAACACAAACACTGCCCCATGTCTGTTTCTATCAGGACGTTGCTCTTTGTATTTCTCTATTTTTATTTCCTTATATATGCTTGTGTCATTTAACCACAACTCCGATATGGAGAATACGGCTCTAGATAAGTGGTTATGATAAGTGCAATTCATTTGTAAGGGTTGTTGGTGCCCCCAGATGGAGTACATTATGCGTCTAGACTTCCAGTGGAAACAGCAGCTAGAAGCAGAGCAAAAGGAAGCAGAAACGACACACTTCGCCAACAAACTTCTCCTGCAGAACATTCTTCCCTTGCATGTTGGTAAGCAGTTATTCACTAATCTGGATGAAATACTCGTACCTTTTATTTCCACATTATGTAGAAATTTTTCAAGAATTATTAGTCATTGCAGATGTTATGTGTAAAGAATGCTTTTAAATAATAACTGTTTTGTCCATAAAATTATTCAGTATTTTCCTGAATATTAAATAAGAAGTGTTCCCTGGTTTATATAATTTCCATCAACTTTGCCTGAAACACCACATCAAGAAAACATTAAATACAAAATTTGGTCCTATTGGAATTTACATCCGAAAATTTACTATTCATTTATATACTGCACTAACAATAATTCATGTACAGAGGACTGTATATGTATAATTAAATGTACCAGATCAGTATACCTGTACAGTATTAAATTTACTGTACTGTACAGGTATATAGAGTGTATGTATTGGTAGTTTTTCATTCTGATGATAAAGCTTTTGAGGTGTCAAGCACAGACCACTACAATACTGTAAGCACATACAATGTTTATTTCCCACTAGTACTATATATAAAAGTGGGTTGGCATTCAGCTGTAAAACTTGCTTCAAATTTGCTTGAAAGCAAGTGAGACATGCTGACATAAAGTAATCACTGCTAACCTACTACACTCGTGTTATATGGCTGTAAAATGGCCAAATTTATTTCAGAATAATATGAGTATAATAGAATGTATTCACTAGTAATGTCCGTAGATAAAGGTTTATACCTACAGTACAGTATATCTTCAAAGTTATAACAAAAAAATAATATTTTCTTGTAGAATTAACTACTGTAGTAAGTTTCGTTACACTTCTCCCCTATAACATATGAAATTAAGTTTTCAATCTTCTAACTTTAATTAAGCATATTGTATTGCTAAGTGATTATTAATGTTTATTATAGTTATGTGGTCTTTTTCAGTGTATCTCATACTGCAACAGTACAGTATACATGCGTATTATGGCTTCCCCAATTGTAGAAATTATCAGAAATCAACATTGAGATGTTATTATCCCTTAAAAAAATAATACAAATATGATAAATTAAATACTAAACAACTGTACAGTAGTGGCTCTTAATGTCTGTCCACCATCCAGTCAGCTGCCTAGCTACAAACTGAGCCTAGGCCTACGTTGCAAGCTTCAAGTGAACGGACTATAGAATGCCTAATTCTTGTACGATACTACTGTATATTGATGTCAGCCCTGCTCAGCCAGCCACCTGCCACGTACAGTACAGTTGACTCTCGCCTAATGCGGATTTACCCATCCATGTATTTCGGGAATCCACGGTTTTTACTATGAAGTTATACTATTTCACCAACCACGGCATTGATTTTTTTATTTGTGGAATAGTGTGGCATCTTTATCCCGATGCGGTCTAATGTATTCCTTTGTAAATGTGAGGAATAAATAAAGATAATGCTGAATAAATAAAAATAATACTAATAAATAAATAAAATATGATTATTTTAGATAGAAGCACGCCCCCTCCCCCCCCCCCCTTTTCCACGATCATGGGTAACTCCAGTGGATGTAAGAAATGCTTATTCTGTATGTTTTTTACCTTATGATTATCATTTATTTTATTATTTATTTTACACATTTTGTATGAACGATTGTGTGTGTGTGCATGTAAGGGAGTAGGGAAAAATAATAAAATTACATATATCATCCCCAAAATATAAGTTGAAAAATAACAATAATACAGATTGGTGGTTTGGGGAGAGCTAGGGGAATGTAGCTACAGGGAGCAGGGACACTATATCTTGATGACCTACCAAGTCCACACACACACACGCACATGCTCTTCATTTTTCTTATTCTATAGCAACATGTCATCTCCATGGGAATGAATTATAAAATGTATATGACTGTTTAATTTATATTAAGTTAGGCTTTGACGAGTGTTATTCACAGCCATGAAATCTGAAACCCTATTTCCCATAAACCTTTAGTCTTGCTAACCGCGGGGTTTTTCGGGAACCTAATCCCTGTGGTTGGCGAGGGACTACTGTACTGTATTTACTGCATCACCATAACCTTAACTCTCTCATTTGCCTGCTTCTCCTCCCTCAGCGGATATGTATTTGAACCAACAAACTCAGATGGATGAACTGTATCATGAGTCTTATGATCACGTGAGTGTCATCTTCGCTTCCATCCCTAACTACAGCGAATTTTACCGTGAAAACGTCCTGAATCAAGATGGCAAGATGTGCCTGAGGGTCCTTAATGAGATTATCTCAGACTTTGACATGGTGAGTTATAATACCAGTGTAGGGAAAATAAATTGGCATCGAGAAGAAAAGATACAAGAACCATAGAGGCTTAGAGGGATGATCAGTGGTGTGAAGGTGTGAAGCAGATGTTTAAAGGAGAGTAAAAAGAATTACTAAACCAAAAGTAAATTAGGTTGGGTTAGTTATGATATTTATTTATGGTTGCATTATTTTTATTTATATGATCGCCACAATTAACTGACAAGATTAAATTTTTGAAAACAAAAGAAATCCTATATGTTTATAGAAATAGCCATTGATTCCAAATTATCCCTGTTTAACAATTATACACATCATTCATTAGTATTCTTACAATTCATTAACACAAACATACATAACCCTAACTGCAATATGCTGATGTGCTGTACATTAATCTTTGTGCAAAACATACACCTGTTCAAATACGCGTAATCGCTCTGAGTACTGTCCTCGTATCCGAGGATTGGCGACCAGTCCTCCACTATAAACATTCTCGAAAGGTTTTCACCAATCCTCTAAGATTTTGTATCTCTCTGGGGACCAAGTGTTTAATTTCATCCATGCATCCCAGTCTCTGCCTTCCCCTGGCTCTCCTACCCTCAGCTTTACCCATTTATATTCCTGTTATTATCAAAGTCACCCTCTAGTGATATTGAAAATCTATTTTCAGTTTAAATTTCATATTCTATCCCTGCTCCGGTTTTGAGTTTACGAATAACGTATATCCCATTTTATTTTGTCCATATTTTTTTTTTTTTAAGTTTTAGCCTCATTAAACTCATCACTGGGATGTGATCTGACCCATAATCTACCCCTGGAAAGTCTTGGTTTGGGTTTAGAATTTCTGAATCTTTCCTAAATTTAAATGTAATCTACTGTATAGTCCTGGGGTGAGACCCATGTACAGTATAGATGTGTCAAGGGTGTTTTTCAAACCATGTACAGTATTTGCAATTATCATCTTGTTTTCTTTGCAGAAGTCAATATTTCTCCTCATATTTCTATTACCCAACCCAAATACACAGACACGAGCAAACATTAGCTCTTAGCTGTACACTAAACACCAGTTTGCAGAAATATTTTGTACGCTAACATCCACCTTCTCACCACCAGCTGACTTACAACGTGCAGTTTATGACTATGGAAAAGATCAAGGTGGTGGGCAGCACATACATGGCTGCATGTGGTCTACAGCCTGGCCGTAGAAACAGTGATGACTCCAACTTCGAGGAGCGAGACAAACGCGATAATGTGTCTACTATCACCAAGTTTGCTGCTGCAATGTTCGAAAAGCTTGAAGCCTTCAATAAAGATGAACAGCAAGATTTCAAATTAAGAGTTGGTAAGTTACAGGACAGAGTAAAATCTTAAAATTTGTATGACAAGAAATGGTAAAGGTGTAATTTGTTATGTTTGACATGTAGTTAGCATGTAAATGATACAATACATACTGAAAAAAGCTCTTTGTAAAAAAAATTGCTGTAATGAAAAGCTTGCATAGGCCGATGCAATATGTTTAGCTGTTCGACCTTACAGTTTAATGTTCAGTGATTATCACTGAATTGTCTTTAAAGTGGCTTAGAAGCTCCTGGCTTAAGTGGCCCAAAAATGGTATGGTCATGTTCACTTTGTAGTAGGTCTCTAGAATGGCAACTGGTGCAGTACTGTTCTTCTGGCGACCACAGATCGTTGGAGTGTCCACTGACACACTGAGACTGGTAGTACAGTCAACTGCCTTACTGTAAATCTGCTTGTGGGTGTTATCCATATTTTTCTGCATTTCCTTTACTGCACCAGCGATAATCTGCACATCCTGATAGACCGTCATGATGTCAATTGCAAAGACAAACTGGAAAATGGCCATTATATGGCATAAACCATTAGCCTTTGGTTTAAAAGCCTTCAATAGCATCCATGCAACTTTTCTCTCTTAGACTTTGGGCAGAACTCTTGCACTTTGTCCCTAAGGAAGTAATGGCATTTTGGTGACAGGCTGGACAACCTTGCCAGTTTCCTCAAGGTATCCATTGTGTTTCTAATACTTTGTTGACTGCAGGTATTTACCACACATAAGTTCAGCTTATGAGCAGCACAGTGAAAGTATTTGATAGGGGGATGATCTGCCTTGATCTTTGCAGCAGCACCGCCATATTCCCTGTCCCATCATATCCTTGGCCAACACACTTGTTGAAGTCAGGTCCAAGGTTGGAGAGCTTTTTTTATTATATATGCAATGAGTTCTCCTGTAACCAACTGACATTCATATTAACCCTACAAACTCCTCCCTGGTCATGGAATTTCCCATAGCATTGCCAGAGATGCCATGGTAGACCCATAGACAGAAGCTTGCCCAGGACCCCATCAGTACTAAAGGCACTGCAGATTATATAATAACAGCAGATACTTGTTTTAATATGATTTGTGCAATTTGTTTTTGTGGTTACTTGACTTACTTTTATCCTCTTCACCACTGATCGGCTCGTTAGCCGCTTGGGCGATCGGTCACGTCTCTGTTACTTTTCCTTTTCTTTTATCCTCTTCACCAAATGATCGACTCGTTAGCCGCTTGGGTGATCGGTCACGTCTCTGTTACGCACTGTTGGCAAGTACTGGGCATGTACCGGCTCCTGAATGTACCTGAACCTGCTCCAGTGTTGGTCAAGTCTTGTCTTGAAAGAGCTCACACTCGGTGCCGTCACAACACTTTCTGGTAAATTGTTCCAAGAGTTCACAACTCTCACTCCGAAAAAGTTTGCCCTCACAGTTTTCTGGAATTGCGGCTTTTTCAATCTTGAGCTGTGACCTCTTGTGGGGCGAGCGTCCGCCAGCTCCAAGTAAGGACACTCGACTGAGTAGTGCCCCTTGAGATGCTTATACACCTCAATTAGGTCACCCCTTGCCCGTCTGTAGTATAAGCTAGGCAAGTTCAGGCGCTCCAATCTCTCGGGGTAGCTGAGGTGCCGAAGTGCAGGCACCAGTCTGGTGGCCCTCCTTTGAACATTTTCAACCAACTGACAGTCCCTAGCACTTCACTCTTGAAGATCGTTACGAGGGGCGGACCGTCTAGATATCTGAACGACCTTCTTATGAGACCCAATAATTTATTTGCCTGATTTACCTTCTTCTTCTCGCAATGGCCTGAGAACTTCAGCTCATTGTCAACATACACACCTAGGTCCTTCTCACATTCAGTCTCAAATAGTGCAGTTTCTTCATCCCGTTGGGACATACGATACGCTTCCTTACCGTTGGTACGCCCCAGGTGCATCCTCTTACACTTCGTGACATTGTTTCTCAGCAGCCATTTCTTCGACCATTCTTGGAGCCCACAGAGGTCCTTCTGGAGCTCTTCACAGTCCGCTTGGTTCTTGATTTCCAGGCATAAGTTGGCGTCATCGACAAACATTTGTATGGAGGAGTGTACAACGTCAGGCATGTCATTTATGAAACAAACAAACATCAGCGGGCCCAATACACTGCCCTGTGGTACCCCGCTTGTGACAGGTACGGAAGATGATTTCGTGCCATTAATCACCGCACACTGCTTGCTGTCATGTAGAAAGTCTTCTATCCACGCTAGGACATTTCCCCGAATTCCGTACCCTTCCAGTTTGATTTTCAGCTTTTCGTGGAGTACACTGTCGAAAGCCTTGGCAAAATCTAGGTAAATATTGTCGATATTACCTGCCCGTTCCAGAATATGGGTCCAAATATCCATTATCCTGAGCAATTGTGTTAAGCAAGAGCGCCCCGGCATAAAACCGTGTTGGCAATCCTTTACAAGGTTGTTTCGTAGTAGATGTTCCATTGCGGCATCTCTAATAATACTCTCAAGTACTGTACTACTTTACATTTTATGCTGGTCAAGCTCACCGATCTATAGTTGTTCGTGGAGTGACGATCGCCCTTCTTGAAGATAGGACTCACATAGCCACTTTCCTTTCACTAGGGACCTTTTGTTCATCCAGGCATTGACAAAACAGGATCTTCAAAGGCTCGGCAAGTTCGTTGCACAACTCTCTTAGCATTCGAGGATGCACCAAGGCAGGGCCGGGACTCTTATGGACCTTTAGCTTTGACAGTCTATTTCTAATACTCAATCATGAAAAAGAAAAAAGTGCCATATTTTTGTTTGTTTTCCCTCTCGAGAAGGTGTCCCTATTATTTTGTTTTATGATGGATTTACTGTACAGTATATGGAAACAAACAGGTAGATAGAGAAAATAATATATCCTGTACACTTGATACAGTACACTGAGTACAGTATACTGTACATAGAGAGCTTACAAGAACACTTACCATACCTCCAAATATTTCTTTATAATTTTATTTGATGTTCTTTTTTGACTTGAGGATCTGATTCATTGTGTCTTAAAGATTTATTTTAGGGCTTTCACATTAAAATTCTTTCAGTACAAAATGCTGTAAAAAAAATTTTCAGTTGTAAATTTTGAAGCCTTGACTTTTGCCATTTTATCACCTTTGCACTGTTGCCACTATAATAGTTAATGAATTGGATTTTCATATCACTTGCTTAAGTAGTGAAACCATAAGAGTAAGTGGAATAGTTGATATTAGTGTGAGTTAGACACATACAATGAAGTGAGTAGAATAGAATGATAAAATGAAAAACTGAAGGATGAGTATGGGATAAGAGCTAAATATACTAAAGTGTACTTGGTGTGCAGGTATTGACGTGGGGCCCGTGATCGCAGGAGTGGTAGGTGCTCACAAGCCCATGTATGATATCTGGGGTAACACTGTCAACGTGGCTTCCAGGATGGACTACACGGGCGAGATGGGCAAGATACATGTAAGTTATGTGCAGTGCTGTCACACTTGTAATTATTATAACATGTTGAAAACTTGAACAGAATTGGGCTACAGGGGCGCTGGTGGTAGGTAGAGCGGTACCGCTCTTGCCTCGCAAGCAAGATGTCACGGGTTCGATTCCCGGGCCGGCGGAAGTCGTTTGGACACTCTTCCTAGTCCCCTTGGTCCCTATTCATCTAGTAGCAAAGTAGGTACCTGCTGTAAATCGAAAGTTGCGAGTTCGTATTCAGGGACAAGTTGTTGGAGATTCCAATAACTTGCTTAGACATAAACCATTGACTCTTCAGGCTTCTAAGCCCTTAACTCATGAGACATAAGGCAAGCATGAACTTAGCATGTTTCCCTGTTGGGCGCTGTAAACTCTTCTGCGCTTCACCTTACACAAGGATGTAGGAGGGTGCCCAATAAAAAAAAATGGGCTACACCGGAAGTGTTTTACATTGGTTGGTTATAATTTAGTACCAGGTTTAATTCTAATTACTGTATTGTTATTTTTTCAAGATTTTTAGCTTTCTATAACTTACTTTCTAATGCATATATAAGAGTATCAATACTGTAATGCAGTTCTATAAAGAAAAATACAATTTCATGAATGATTTATCATTACCATATTTTCATGTACTCACATGCTTGTTTAGGTAACCTCTCAAGTAGGTGAGACCCTGCAAGAGATGGGCTGGAGTGTGGAGTGTCGAGGAGACATTTACGTCAAAGGGAAAGGGCGTATGACCACCTACTTTGTGGACCCCAAGAGTGTCCCTTGTGAACCTGCAGCACCTCATGGGTCTAACAACAATGATGACAACAAAGGAGGTCAAGGTCCTACGAGTGAAAGAAGACGAAGTAGTCAGCTAAGCATAAATTCCATTAAGGGCTTCTTACCATCTCACAGAGGCAGCCTGGACATCAGTATAGGGAAGGAGGCTGATACTCAGAGTACCAAATCCTTTCCTGTATACAAATCAATTAAACATGGGAACCCTCTGGATACCAATGCTGAACAATTATGTTCAGTAGGAACAACACATCGTGGTAGTCTGGATTCAAGCATTACAGAACTTAAAAAGAAAAGCTCAAAATTCTATCAACCTTCCCTAGTTATAGAAGAAAATGAATGGCAATTTGAAGGTGATAACTCTCACAATAACACTTGTCGCAAGCTGTCAACTCAATCACTACAAGAGCAATCTTTGTCTTGTTTTTCAAAGTATAATAATAATGTAATTACTAGTAAGATACCAGAGTTATCAAAAGATGATAGAAAAACATCAATATCACCTCACTCTAGTTTAGAAACTACTAATAGTGTCTCATCCTTACCCTCCAGTGACAACAATTTGGCTTCAAAAGCATTTAAGGACAGAGATAGTGTTAATAGCAAATCTTATAGGGAAAGCATCACGTCGTGGTCTTCCAGATCTTCTGGTGTTAATAGTCCTAATCAATCCACAAGTATGAAGCAAGTGGACGTTCACCAGCAGGTGCTGTGGGACCCGAGTAAAGCACACGCGCCTCAAACTTCACTCACTGTCGAATCTGACGATGGAGAAGTGCGGTTGAGAATATGAAACTCACTAAAAAGCACTTCTGAAATATGTGATATTAGTAATTACTTACATAGTGCTAAATGTTCATATGTAGTGTTAGTACAGTGCAGACAAGTAATTGTAGTGCATCTACCTGAAAAATCAAGTGTATTTTTGCAAGTTTTTAAGTAGGTACGTATGTTGAACACTATATACAGTGGGAAAAAAGTATGCTGAAAGGTACTTATGAACATTACAACTAATAATGTGACATACTTATATGACAAAATTTATTTTTCTTCCATGGCGTAACTGAAGTTTAGTGTTATAAATTAACTGATGTACCCTGGGTAAAGTTTAGGGGATGAAAGTGGTTACAGTATTCATTTGGGCAGGAAATTGAAAGATTATTAAATTAATTTTTCAATGTTAATGTAAATGTAGAAAAATTAAATAGTGTTGAATGATGGGAAGAAACACATGCACGCACAAACACACACACACACACACATTTATATACCCTAGTACAGGGGGTCCCCGGGCTACGAACGGGTTTCATTCCTGAGGACGTTCTTAAGTCGGATTTGCACCCAAGTCGGAACACATGCTATTTGCATACCTTACTTAGAGAACAATGTTTCAAATCCCACTATATTACAGCCTAAGTCCTTATGTACATCTAAAATTACTGAATTTAAGACAAAAGAAGAATTAGAATATCTAAATGCAGTAAATGAAAGTAAAAATTAAGTCATCGTGTAAATAAAATACCCTGTCTGTAAATTTCAAGTTTAACCCCGTTTGTATTGGCAGGCGTTCGTAAGTTGGGGCCCCACTGTATATATATATATATATATATATATATATATATATATATATATATATATATATATATATATATATATATATATATATATGCAAGTAAATCACTGTATCTAGGTATATGCTGATAGGAAAGAAGAAAACACGAAGTTCCCAAAGCGCTATTCACATCTTCAGGGTGAGTACAGACTAGAGTTTTCTATTGATTATAATATATATATATATATATATATATATATATATATATATATATATATATATATATATATATATATATATATATATATATATATATATATATATATATATATATATATATATATATATATATATATTATTGCTATAATTCAATATATTACACCAGTACAGCATTGTAAAATGAATTTAAAATCTTCCAATTTCCTTTATACATAGTATAGGTACAATGGAGTCTCAATAATTTGCAGATTAAATACTGTACCAGATATAGTGAATTATCAAGTCGCATTATAGCTCAATTGATTCAAATGGAAATAATTAATTTGGTAACAAAGTCCAAAAAATACCCATAAACTGTTCCAAAACTGCTTTAATATATTGTACACTAGACATCATATATAACACATAAAATATAAATTAACTCATAGATATTGTACAAAAGGTAGTTCATTACATAAACAGCTCCTTCTATTCTCATAATCAACCTGTGGGTTATGTCAATACAACAACATCGAGACAGAGAGGCATGGGGCTGGCTGTAACTGTTGTTTGTAAACAATGCTCCAGGAATTTAATACCACACAATAACTCATCTGGGATTGATTGTGGGAATGCTTTATTAACACAGGGGATATAAATTGTTTGTATGTATTGATAAAGTACAGTAATGCACAGGTGAGAGGGATTATAATCATAATCAACAGGTGTATGAAGTCTATAGCTGTATACTGTACTGTAAATAATGCCTCCTTCCCTAGCACATTCACTTTCTTCACTTAGATACGTTCCTTTCCCCCAGCATTATAACCAAAGTCTCTGTGTTGTATTTTGTGAAATCTTAATTAAATCGGACTGACTTGACTGGGACTTTGTTACTGAGAGATGCAAGCAAATCTCAGTGTCCTTATTTGAATGACTGACAGCAAACTTCCAATATTAATGCTTATGTAATTTATTATACCATAAAAGAAAATAGCCAAACAGTTGTGTAGAATCATTTATTAACCAAGGTTAACTGAACAGTAAATTTTATTACAGTTTCAGTGGTCTTAACTGCACTTAAAGTAAGTGAAGAACTGTACAGAATTTTTGTATCTACTTTACTCTGATTGTAAGACATTGATATTTACTATACATACAAAATAAATTAATTTTGTTATATATAATATGAATCGGAGTGAGGGGGGAACAGGCCCCCCCCCCCCCTTTTCATCAGGAAATTCTAATACTATTTCTTTAATGCAGTATTGTACTCAGACAATTTTGTATAGTAAAAAGGAATTACTATTGACCTCGGAGTATCTCCTAATATCATGTGTACATGGCTTCAAAATGCCCATAATATTGGCCAGATTAAAAAAAAAATATGGGTGGACTTGCTGTGCATGCCATGTTCCCCCCCCACAATGTCTTTTACTATTTTTTACTTTTATCCTCTTCGCCACTGATCGACTCGTTTGCCACTTGAGCGGACGGTCACGTCTCTGTTACGCACTGTTGGTAAATACTGCATACTGTACTGGGCGTGCAGTGGCTCAGAAATATATCGGAACCTGCTCCAGTGTTGGTCGAGTCTGGTCTTGAATGAGCTCACACTTATTGCCGTCACAACACTGGCAGATTGTTAGAAGAGTTCACAATTCTTGCTCCGAAAAGGTTTGCCCTCACTGTTTTCTGGAACCACCCCCTTGATATCCCTGGATCTGCCTCTGGTATCTTGCATTGACTTGCATTTATCTCTCTTAATAAAATGTTGTAGTACATACTACTAAATTAGGAGTCTACCATGATAGAGGTGTCTTGTCTAAATACAGTATTTACTTTGTATGCTCAAGTTGGCATTTATTGATGTGTGTGTATTTTATATATATATATATATATATATATATATATATATATATATATATATATATATATATATATATATATATATATATATATATATATATATATATAATTCATGGGATACATTTTAATTTCACTTTAACTCCAAATTGTTCTCATTAACTATTGAGACCACAACACATAATCAAAGTAAGTCTTTGTGTGGATGATGAGCCCAAGACCTCCCTGTTAATGGTCTGGGTGTATTATTTACAGTGAAACTTTTGAATAGAATTCTCTGGCAACAGAATGCCTGGAACCATTTCTTGTACTGTATTGCCCAGACATTCTTTTAAACATTGCATATCAGTCAAGTCCACATTATGATGTAAATGTTAGATGTGTATGCATATTTCCTGTTTGCATTACCAATTTGGATACAGGGTTATTTATATAGTGTAAAGTACAGACCCAGATTTTGAAATGGAACATCTGACACTTGTTTCTGAATATCTGTTTTGGGTATGAGAGAATCCTCCACCCATATGATCTTTATAATTATCAGGATTACAAAGGCTTACCTGCCTATGAATTTAAGAACATAAGAATGAAGGAAACTGCAGCTGGCCTATTGGCCCATACTAGGCAGTCCCATTTACACCCAACCACCATCGCTCATATATTCATCCAACCTATGTTTGAAGCTATGCAGCATATTCGAGTTAATGATGAAGTTTAGTAACTTGTTCTACTCATCCACAACTATATTTCCAAACCAATATTTACCTATCTCATTCCTAAATCTAAATTTGTCTAATTTATAACCATTGCTATGAGTTCACTCCTGATTAAATAGTTTTGAGTACCATTGTAATGTCCCTTTTGTTTAGCCCTAACTTCCATTTGTACACCTCGATCATATCGCCCCTCACTCTACGTCTCTCGAGGGAGTGCAGATTAAGATGCTTTGACCTGTCTCTGTACTCTAGGTTCATGATGCCAGTGATTTGTCTTGTCCTTCTCCTCTGAATTCTTTCTAGGGATTCTATATCCATTCTGTAGTAAGAGTGACCAGAACTGAACTGCGTAATCCAAGTGAGGTCTCACAAGCGCAAAATATAATTTTAGGACAACCTGTCAAAGTTTCAACACCCACATTGTACCAGAGCATATTACGGAAAGTTTTGGAAAATCGACGCACTCTGCATACAGTATAGGTATGTGATCATTCATAATAAATCATTACTTCTGTAGTTATATTCATTTGTCTCGTTACTTATTGAATGACTCGCCTATTATCATGTCAAAAACTTCAATGCATGTATAAGATTCTCTGAATTCTCTAGATCAATTAAATGTAACTAAATACAAACTCAACTGATGATATCTTCACAGCATGACGGTACTACAATTCATCAATGATTAGATTAGATTACAGCTAACATTACACACACACACATATATATATATATATATATATATATATATATATATATATATATATATATATATATATATATATATATTAAATTAACATACAACATTGCTTGGCAGGGATGAGAGAATAGGTTTGTTTTTCTATAGGGGTGACTGGAGAAAGAATTCATACATGTTTTAGGGATGATCAAGCGTAATATGAATCATATCTAATGGATAATATGTACCGTACTAATGTGATCAGTACACCTGCTATTGTTAAATGGAGAGATAATTTTGTCTGCAACTATACAGTCCTCAAAGAAAGTATTGTTAGATTTTTCCGTCACTACAATTTGAAACTAAATGAAATGCTTCTTTGATATGATCCCCAGTGCATTCTCGCCATTTCAGCAACAGAAAGAGATGGGGGAGAGGGAGTTGTCCTTTGTATGGCATACTAGATACTTCAATATAAAAACAAAATCCATTAAGCTATACTAATGTATGCACCATTCAAAAACTTGTATACCCATTCATGTCCAAAGGTTGCGGATGTAGAACTACCAACCATTCGGAAAAATCGAATAACATTGCTCAGAAAGCCTGGAATCACATAGCTCACATGACTAACGATACTTTTTGGAGGGACTGCGTGTTTTCTCAGTTTCATCCTGATATATCAAGGCTGCAGAATCTGTACATGAAGATGAAGGCAATTGAACCTAGGAATGGTGATCAAAGGCAAAACAATCCACAATTTAATGACCTTATCATAAAATTACCAATACTGTATTGCATATTGGTGTTTTTTTTTTTTAACTATTTTCTTTGTTCTGTGTTTTGAGGAGTTAGACTCAATAGTACTATTAACATGCACCCTCCACTGGCCTCCTTCAGCACCTGGGAGAGATCATACCTTTTCAGGAAAATTTCACTTTAAAGAATTTTTGCTAAACGAAACTCATTTATATTTCCAGCTAGCATTGTGGAACTTCTTTATACAGAATGTTTTAACTGTGATTATAACCTCCATCAGTTCAATTCATCTTGCTTCAAATATACAGTAGTCACCTTTAGCAAGGTGATGTCTCGGTGATTGATTTCTCCGGGGTTTTTTTTTTCTAAAAAGGTACCTATAACATACCTAGGCAGACGGATATCTCCCTAAACATGTTGAGCTTCAAAAGACGACTGGACATGACACTGGAATAAGAATACAGGTATATCATAATAGAAATAAAGAATTCTAATTTTATGTTGTAATGCTATGAACCTTCTTGTTTTAGTACAGATTAGTGTTACACAAACTGATAGAAATTTGAGTACTGTACATGGGCCTGAAGCCTTTGTCTAGAATGAACCTAGGTAAGTACTGTACTGTATAAAACTCCATGATGGTGAAGGAAATACAACATACTGTAACTTTGGCATAGTACTTCATGAAACAATGGTGAAAGAAACCATCCATACTATAATATGTTGAAGGCGATTGTATCTCTATATAACAGTAGTGGTGCAGGAAACTAAATTTCCCTTTGACGGTGAAAGCAGTTGTACTACAGTACAAGTA